TGAATTTAATTTAACCAATTGCTACGGAGAAACCGTTTCGGGTCAGAGGGGGATCTAGAACATAATTTTTTTATGTAAATACAGTAGTTTGTGTACAATATTCTTTGTATATATTCTTTGTACAATTTGCTTAGGAGGCATCTTTATTGCCATAAATATTCTCTAGTTCGGCATCATTGAGCTCGGGAAAATAACGCGCCGTGCAACCTTAGCCATCTCTCTTCGTGTGTAGCTTGTTTGGGCGATGTTCGCGCGTGCGTACTACACCCGTGCGACAGTTTCACGATTCGCTCGTACCCCCGCCCTGCAAACAGGACGCTGGGATGCTCTGATGAGCTTCACAGAATCTTGTGAAGGAAGGGGCCTATGACCTTTAGTCACCGACACCACGAAGTAACACCCATCTACATACCAGTAAAAACTAGCAATCGAAAAAAACGGCAACTAAAGTTGAACGCCTTCTAAAACAACACTTTGCGTCAAAACGACAGAGTATTTTCAGTTGGGTTACTCGTTGTGGACACTTGATGAATTGAATTTATTAAATCTTCTGTTTTTCACCCGTTTGTGTATTAAATAAACAAGAAATAAGAGAAAAAAGATGAGTGTTAGTTCGTGAAACCGAAAAGGCTGCGAAACTGTAAATTTTTGTTTTCACGAAGTAGGCCTACACTCTTTAATGTGTTCAACACGAGGAAAGTGCAACTTCAGGTCAGCGCGCGCGCGCTCATACAACTTATTACAAGAAGAGTGTTACTTCGTGAAAACGTTTTTGCTCACTTATGAGCAGAGTGCGCGCCATGCATTGCAATGGTAAATGGAACTTGAGTGTTACTTCGTGAAAACGAAAATTGTCACTTTTGCGCAAAAGTTGCCATGGATACTTAGCATAATTATTAAAGTAAAGCTCTTGAAGCTTGAAAAATCGTGCAATGGTAGGCCTTGATGAATAATGTTTAAAAATCGAAAAAACTGAAAATCGAAAAAAATATGGTTTAACACGGTAGAGTGTTACTTCGTGGTGTCGGTGACGCTATGTATAAAGCATCTGGCTGCAGCTGTTCAAGACCGCAGTAAGACAATGTACGCAAATACTATCCGAAAACTTCCCAAAGATTGCGCACATTCCATACCGGATGTGATTTCTGTTTCATTGCGGACCATGTGGACAAAATTTAGAGCGTCGCATAATGCAATCTGACCGTTCTTGATTCGAAATGGAGCCTGAGCGAGTGACGGGAATTGCAAATTTACAACACAGATAAGTTTTACAGAAGTTCCTACATTATTACGCTTTTCAACGAGAAAAAAACATCTCTAAACTGGAATAAAAAGAGTAATGAATCAGTCTTAACGGCCGTTTCAAACCTTGCAGAGTCATGACCTTGATGACGCGCAGGTCGCTGGTCGCGCAAAATCCTACCAATCAGAGCGTGAATTCATCAGAGTATCCCAGCGTCCTGTTTGCAGGGCGGGGGGGGGGGGGGGGGGGGTACGAGCGAAGTTCCACGATTGCTTTGTAAAGCGCATGCGTAGTAGACTGTCGCATTGGTAACCCGTGCGATAGTCTACTAAGAATGCGTATTTACCCTGTGCTTGAATCCACGCGCGAGCGTTTGGTAAACAGCAAAAATAACATCTGGCACGTGATGGTGAATTGACCAGTGAGAGTTCGGCTCTCGATCATGAACTGTACACTCTGAAAAAGCATTAGTCAGATTTGACTAGAACCCAGTTAAATGTGACTAGCCATTCAGGGTCAGCTGGGTGCAACTGAAAATCAGTCAATCTGACTAGATTTGTCCAGTCAGTATTATTGACTTGGGAAAAATAGTTATGCAAATAACTGAATTTGGAGTCGAACCCAACAACTTTTTCTAGTCATAGTATGAAACTTTGCATGTTTAACTAAATTCCTAGTCAATTTTCAATAACTAGTAAAACCAGTCAATATTTTGACTAAGTTGTTTTTAGAGTGTATTAGGTATAGTAATATTGGCTTTTCACCGTAAGCTAAATGAACAAAATAAGGTCTAGAAATATCGTCGACAGAAGAGTCACAAAATTGGAGCATTTAACTGTTTATTTCGTTAAAAAGATATTTATTATGGGAATAACAGTGCAAGGATCCGGTCTTCACTGCGCGTGATAATGACCGGGTTTGGGGGTGACCGCTGTTAATGGACCGAGACGAACATTAACAGCGGTCACCCCCAAAGCTGCTCATTATCACGCAGTGAAGACCGGATCCTCACACTGTTATTCCCTTAAAAACATACTTGGTTGAAAGATAGTAAGAAGACTAAACTCCTTGTGAAATTGTTCTTTCTGGCAAGCTGTCATTTTTAAAAAATCAAAGAAAGAACGCCTTTCCAACGGTGCGTCTTAAGAAGCACCGTTGGAAATTTGCGTTACTAGTTCGTTTTTTATTCGGCGAAGCGCGCGCAAGCGTTGAGACAACGCACACGCGCGCGCGCGGTTGCTATAATTCGTCCATCCGGTTCGTTAGTGTGACGTCACCTCCAGCACTTTCTGCACGATTGGAACCGGAACATGAGTTAACGCAGCTTGAGCGTTTGCAGCCAATGGGCGCTAGTAATCAGTGGTGCACGTGCGTGTATGACGTTTTTACTAACGAACCGGATAGATAGAGGGTCACATGCTGGAGGAAAGATACAAATAATGCGCGAAAACGTGACGAGCGCAACGCCGTTTACGCGCACAGTTCACCATGCATCGCTATTGCGTGTGCGCATTGCGTAAATACTCGTTGCGCATTTCCAGCTTCGCGCGCGTTGAGCTAGGTCACGTGCATAGAGTTATATTAAAAAAACTAGAGAGTGCACTCATCACGTGACCCCGTGCTGGCAAGGACATTTTGTAAGTGAGCAAAGCACATGCGCACAACACATAACGTTAGGCAAAACAGCACGGTAAAACAAGGCATCGTCGGGGGGAACCAACAGTAAAACAACAAGATACGCATTGCAGTCAATCCTGAAGTGTGCACATCCGAGTATTTTTTGCCCACTTACAAAATGGCGGCGAGGTCTACAGGGTGGCACGTCTGCATTGTGCGTGCGGTATAGTGAATGCGCGCTCTAGTTTTTATAATATAACTCTATGGTCACGTGCTGGAGGAAAGATACATTTAGCTCCATTACTTTACGTTAATTTGAGTGCACGTCCAGGAGAGACAACAAAAATGGCGGAGATTTATCGCACAATGAATGGGCGCGTGTGGACGCGCTGCCGATCTAGTCGTTTTATTCTTTATCTATGAATTCGTCGGATCAGTGCGCGACATCGCGTACCATCGCGTACCTGCAATGTTTGTGAGTGCAATGGTAAGAATAATTACTTGAGGTGACAGATGAAATGTTCCATTCCACGAGGCGAAGCCGAGTGGAATGGAACATTTCCTCTGTCACCGAATGAAATTATTCTTTCCATTGCACGAACGTGAAACATTCATTATTTGTTTTGTATAACACTTGAATAAATTCTTGTCATCTGATTGGTTGACTTTGAATAGCTAATTTATTCAGGTTAAAAACTGCTTCAAAGTTCGACAAGTTCATCATATTTAATTTATGCAATTTATTCAACAGGTTGAGAACCATCACATTCAATCTCTATTTAAAACAGTGCCACAGCAGCAGTGACACCGTGCAACGGACGTTCTATTCACTATGGTGGCTTTTATCGCACATATATATTGACGCCAATATTTACGCCAATATTCACGACATGGCCTCCATGTCGCTAATATTTGCGCCAATATTGACGCCAATATTCACGACATGGACCCAAGTCGCAAATATTGACACCAATATTCACGCCAATATTCACGACATGGACCCAAGTCGCAAATATTGACGCCAATATTGACGCCAATATTCACGACATGGACCCAAGTTGCAAATATTGACGCCAATATTGACGCCAATATTCACGACATGGACCCAAGTTGCAAATATTGACGCCAATATTGACGCCAATATTCACGACATGGACCCAAGTTGCAAATATTGACGCCAATATTGACGCCAATATTCACGACATGGACTCAAGTTGCAAATATTGACGCCAATATTGACGCCAATATTTACGACATGGTCTCCAAGTCACAAATATTGACGCCAATATTGACGCAAATATTCACGACGTAGTCTCCAAGTCGCAAATATTTGCGCCAATATTGACGCCAATATTCACGACATGGACCCAAGTCGCAAATATTGACGCCAACATTGACGACATGGAGGCCATGTTGTGAATATTTGCGTCAATATTGGCGTCAATATATATGTGCGATGTCCCTTTAAAGCCACCATAATTCACTGTGCAATAAAACTTCCATTGCACTGTGCGCTGCGCGCCGCGTGCGCCGTGCGTTGGGACGAATAATTCAGACATGTGATCAACGATCCACCAATCACATGATGAGGATTTATTCAGGTGTTGTATAAAAGGAATTATTGTTGGCTCGACAATACTTCCCTTCTCGTAGGCACAGAGCAACCCAAACTAAAGCCTCTTCGGAGGGTTGCAGATGTTTCATTGAAAGAACAAAGTGAAGAAAAACATTGTTGAAAAGCACAACAAGTTCTTCTTTAAATACGAAGCAAAATACGTGAAAACGCAGGATTCATCATTCGTCGTCTAATTGACAAAATAGCTTGTGTCTGACTCACTGAAGTTCTCGTATTGCCAAGTTGTATTACGTTTATTTCAAAGTGAGTCTTTCAAATAACACATTGCAGTTGGTAAAGGAATAATTATTCATAGAGCGGAAACATCATAATGTCGACTACTATTAAACAGAGCATGTAATAAAAAAAAATGGTATGGTGTGAAATTTAATTGGATTCTATAACTAGGATCTCATTGGTTTTATTTCGCATGCCTTAGCGAATGATACGATAGTGACACGTCACCACGTGTGCCCATCAATGGTTGGGCCTTAAGTCGCTCAGGGGCCTGCTGTTGCCCATTACTGGTCGGGCCTGGTGTCGCCCAACCTGTTGTTGCCCATTGGCCTGGTACGTGTTACCCAGGGGCGCGCTGTTGTTGCCCGTTACTGTTCGACCAGGCCCCATGGGCGAGCCAGGCCCTACCAGGGGGGCTGCTGTTGCCCGTTACTGGTCGACACTAGGCCCCTATAGCTATATGCGACACCAAGCCCTACCAGTAATGGGCAACAGCATGCCCCTGGGTAACACCAGGCCCGGCAACAACTGGTCCCTGGGTAACACCAGGCTGATGCCTAGTTACTGGTCGGGCCTTAATGTGTTGCCCAGGGGTCTGCTGTTGCCAATTATCCTGGTAGGGCATGGTGTCGCCCAGGGGTAGGGCATGGTGTCGCAACTGATGTTGCCCGTTACTCGTCGAAACCAGGCCCTATGCGACACCAGGCCCTACCAGTAATGGGCAACACCAGGCCCCTGGGTAACATCAGGCCCGGCATTACCAGGCTCCTGGGTAACAACAGGCTGATGCCTGTACTGGTCGTGCCTTGTGTTGCCCAGGAGTCTGTGTTCGTGTCATAAGGGGTGCAGAATTCTCAAGTCTTATTGCCTTACTGAGGTCACCTATTAAGCTCCACTCTGAAGGATTTTTTTTTTTTTTTTAGAGTTTTAGGGGATCGAAGCGTCATCTGCAACATCAGCCGACACACACTTGAAGAAAAAAAGTTGAAAAAAAACTTTGGGGGCAAGCTCTATGCCAGAAACCGGAGACTTGTGGGGGCCTTAATTACTGGTGGGGGCCTTAATTACTGGTAGGGCCTATATGCCCGGGGGCCTGCTGTTGCCCATTGTTAGGACCTGGTGTTACCCAGGGGCCTGCTGTTGCATGCCCATTATAATGGTAGGGCATGCATATGGTGTTACCCAGGGGCCTATTAATTGTTACCCATTACTGCATAGTCGGGCCTGGTGTCGCCAAGGGGCCTGCTGATTCGTCTCCGTCTTTGGAGCTTTTTTTTGCATCCGAGTATATAATATGCACGGTGGTTTCACTTCACGGTATGTACGCGTGCACTGTTTAAAAGTGTCCCGTGGTAAAGAGCAAAGTTAGTGCGTACGCCAATGTAAAAGCGAAGCTTAAGAAATTGCTTATTTTTTTATGGATCGATGTTTAGATACAATATACATTGCCCTAACCATATATGTTAACGTTCCACAGAGGCCTCCGTATAGTAGAGTCTGACTTTCGAACAATACGCAACCTTTAACCTGTATAGCGTTGGCTGTTTTATTTACACAGGCGAAATTATCTTCACGTATCAATATTTGCTTGTTGTGCATGGAAGAACCGTTTGCACAGTGTGACGGTAAGCGGCATATACATGTACATAGTTAACGGAAGCCTTGCCCGTTGTATAAGTGCTATGTGTTCAGATATACGGCAATACTATACATCGCTGAGATAGAACGAATCGTTTGCTTTTAATTCATTGTTAAAATTAAGATAACAAGGAACGACCTCTGATGTACCTGCAACGCATTAGTCTATTGCACAGTCGAGTAGCCCCATATTCAGCGTGCATATAACGACTGTGCACTTCTTCTTTCATGGTTTCGTACGTGTATAGGCCTATAATACGAATGATCATGGACGACATATATTGGCCTACAGAATTATGAAGGAGACAGCTATAACATTTAGGCATAGATCAAGAACATCTTTATTGTTCTCGCTTAACTAGAAAGATGTCGGTTTAGCAAACAATTCCAACAATGCCGTTAACAATAATCACTTTAAATCCCTGCATTAGAATGCTTCACTCGTATCATGCTACCATAATACGGAGCACATAACGCACGGTGGCCCATCCAAGCCATGTGGTATCGTTGAACTAAAAAGAAATGGGCGCTCGAAATCTGACTGCATTTAATTAATTCTATCTGGAATTTAAAATGGCATATTTCTACATGGTCATGTAAACCAGAAGAGATATTCTTAACAAAAATGGTTCAGTGTTAAAAATAGTTTCTCCACCTTGTATTTCACAGCAATGGCGTTGTCAGTTCCAACAAAAGACCATTTTTCTAACCTGCCGAATGAGATGAAGGTTCTCGTACTTCAACATCTTTCAGCTGAGGACCTGTGTCACGTGGCATTATGTAATCGATCATTGAGAGAGGCCGCCAATTACGATGCTCTATGGCGCCCTCTTTGCCGAGAGAAGCGATGGGAGAAGTTTGATGCAGTCGTTGATCTTTGTGTTGAACCCCCGTTTATACCTTCATCACCTCAACATGGCGGGGATGGGGGCGTTGGTGACAGTGTCACCTTTGCCTTTGATTCGGTTGTCACTGGTTCAAGCTGGCCAGGGTTGGTGAATACATGCAAATGGAAGGAGATATACATGAAGGCACGACATCTGGAACGAAATTGGAAGAACAATCTGTATCACGTTGTCTCGTTCGAGTTTGGCTCAGCTGGCTACACTAAGAGTTCCAGAAAAAATGACTGTTCTGAACCTGAGGTGACAGTACGCGGCCTAGCTGGTGAAGGGAATATTCTTGCCGGTGCTCTCTCGAATGACACATTACATATATGGGATATCTCCAGCGGAAAACGTCGACATCGCATCAAAGTGGGTATCGGTAGAATAGACAAGGCGCTCAAAATGAAGAATGGCGTCATAGCTGTAGGGTGCCGTGGTGGTAAGATTCGTACCTACTGCGCCCAGACTGGAGAGCAGCTGCAAGTCATGTCGGGGCATCGTCTGGATGTGTCTCGTCTATTCTTCGATGGTGACACCATTATTAGTATTGCAGCGGAGTTAGACGGGGATATGAGGGAGGTACGTGCTGACGGTGATATACGGGTCTGGAATGCTATAGATGGTACATCTCGTTTCGTCTTTGAGAGCACCTCCGATGATCCCTTCCGGTGCCGACCGATTGGCGTGGACTATTTTGACAAGACAGTTGCAGGTGCTTACATCGACCGTAAGATTCGATTATGGGACGCACAGAGTGGTGTCTGTAAGCAGACAATCGTCAGTGATGCCAATTACTTAATTTCGTGTCACCTTGGGGACGGCATCGTGATTAGTGCCCATTGGGGAAATGTCATGAAGATATGGAACGTGGAATCCGGGGAGTGCATCAGACACTTTGACGTGCCTGGTGTGGACTTTGAGGATTGGGACCCAGATGATGAATCATCGCACTTTCACTTCAACGGTGAATTCCTCCTCGCCACATCGCTCTCTAATGTGAGATTGTTCAATCTCGACGGCAAATTCATCAGGGACATCATCTCGGACGATGATATTTATAAACAATACCTGCTAAGGATCAATTATGTCTTTGGCAATAAGTGTATTGCATGTGATGATTGTGGTCGCGGCCCGATGTACCTGTGGAACATCGACGACCTTAATAATGTTTTCCATTTGGTGAAATGTTGCATGTTTGTCGGGGATAATGCAGTGTGGATGAGCGAGACAAAACTTGCTTTCGTTCGATACTTAGAGTACGATAAGGATGAGAACAAAATCCAAATACCAAAGATCGAGGTTCACCATTATTGGTAAAAAGGTAAAGGTTAAGGAGAAGTTTCTGCCGGGGGTTGGTGCTGTGCCGGGCGGCGGAAGGGCTCTCAATAGTGAAAATGGCCTTATTTGAGAAAAGTTCGGTCACTCCCGCTGCTGGGGCGGGCGGGCGCCCCCTCCGCACTCCCCTGGAAACCCCACTGTAGGTACATTGAAAGGATCGCCAGTTTAAGTTATATTAAGTCACGACACAAAAAGACGAAAACACTTTGTTATTGCCTAACGCTTTCTCTGATCATGAATTGTTCTTGATCATGCTAGAAGAAGAAAAAAGGCCACATGGATTGGTGCGTGCATTCGGGGAATATACAGCGCCACCAAGCGTAATTTTGAGGAAACTCAACCCAACCCAACTGTTCTTATTTCACGCATTGTATGAGATAAGAAAATGTGTACCATTAATATGCGTTGCGTTGATTGCCTCACATGGTATGAGGGAACATTCATAAATAACTGAGACAGTATACCTGTTCCTATTGGTCGAGATCCCGTCACGTGGATAGTTTTAAAGGGATGATAAAACCCTGGCAAGACGTGAAGGTGGTCCCATGTGAAGCTGCCCCCTGAATTGGGACACTAAGTTTCTGCTTCCGAAAATGTAGGCCCTATGCTTCAAAGTTTCTACATTTTGAAGATCGAAAAAAACATATACAGGATGAGTAAAAAAAACGAAACCCAAATGTTGGGACTATTGTTTTAGTAAAGTTTTGTATGTAGCACTTTTAAATTCTAGGATATGAAAGCCCACTTCATAAGCTTTCTTTCAGTACAAGAATCATTCCAATATGTACTTTTCAAGTTACTGAATTTTAAACGCAGCAACCTTAATTTTTGAAGTTCTGTCCACGGATAACAAAAAGGTAAGTGCTCTTTCAGCAAAACGAAAACATTTCACATACGGATGTTATACGTGTGAATTGTTTTCGTTTTGCTAAAAGAACGCACACCGTTTTTGTGATCCGTGGACAGAACTTTAAAACGGTGGTGGTGTTTAAAATTCAGTAACTTGAAAAGTACACAAGTGATTTGAATGATTTTTTGTACTAACAGAAAGTTTTTGATTTGGGCTTTCGTGTCCTAGATTTTGAATGTGCTACAATGCAGAATTTCAACTTAAACAATAGTCCCGACATTTTGGTTTCGCTTCTTTTGACTCACCGTGTACAATAGTTGTACATTATTTTAAACGAAACCTGTCTTATACGTATATAGGGTGAAAAACAATACGCTGAATAAATAAACTGAATAAATACACTGAAAAGTTGCAGTACGTTATTATTCTGCTTGCTCGTATCGCTACTATATAGACAGGGAAGAACATGCCCATGATCGAACATGCTCATGGGAAGAACATGCCCATGATCGAACGGCATGGAGAAGATTATCACACGATGGTGCATCAAGCTTTGAAGCCCGTCGCATCAGGGAGGCTGAGCTGAAACGACAGCAACGAAAATCTCGTCAGCTAGATGCTTCCCTACGTGTCCACCCCCACCCCAACCTAGTGTGTCCAGTGTATGACCGTAGCTTCCTGGCTAGAATTGGACTTATTAGCCATCTGCGAACACACAACACCAACTAGTATGGAGATGTTGGCTGTCATCTTCGAATTTCGAAGGACGAACTATATCTACAATTATGCTGGAGGGTGTAATGTGATACATGCAATAATATAAATGTTAAAACAACCACCTCGATTGAGTCACCGCCTTAGTGTCGTAGATATTACATCATATACGAATCCGTTGATGTGAGTTCGATTCCCTTTGGATTTTGTCTTCTCCATCTTTACTACAATGTACTTTGTTTTCTCTTTTAAAAAATGAAGCATTTTAATTCCTGTTTTAAAAAATACGTAAGGACAAAGTGCCCACTTCCTAGGATCGCAATGCTCCTCAAACCTTATCTCAATATGTGTTGGCAGTTTTGCACAAAAAGACTGGAAATGTAGCTTTCGGATTCATATTTACCCGAAAGATTGCTTTTTGTAATTTTTGGAACTGTTTGAAGAGTTGTCACTTTTAAAGTTATCACATTATTAACTCTTTAAACAGTTCACTCATTTTTGGGTTAAAACAGTATTTTGGGGGCATCGCTTTGTCTTCTAGAATTTGCATTGAATTTCCATAGTATAGGGCCTACATTATATAGATCAAGGTTACCGTGAGGGATTTATCTAATTTGGGGGTATCGTACAAAATTTTCATAATTATAGTGATTTGGTTATACAAACAAAAAACTTAACTTACTCAGCCAAACTTAATCGCTGTTGGAATATGCTACTACTTTGGATTTCCTCCCGTAAGTTCTGCCAAAACAGCTAACCCTTAACAAACAAAACAGAAAACGGTGAGGATTAAAAATTCTTTCGTGTCGATTGCAGCCATAATTGGGTTCCGACACTCGCTGCAGATCATTTTGGTTGAAACTTGAAGGCAAATTCTTGACATAATGTCTGCGCAGAAAAAAAACATATTTTAAATGTTTTATAAAAATACCATTAACTTAGGAAAAAGTTATTTTTTACTTCGTTGTCATAACAACCAAGACGTTATCTGCTCAACATGTCTAAAACAGGGCTTAAACAATAATTATTTTTTGTCTAGCAAAAAAACTGTTATTTTGATGTTATAACACGCACCTTACATTTATGAAAAGCAGTTTTTAAAATCGGTCACCATGGTAACCGTTGACAACATTCGTGAAGTTAGGCTCTTTTTGTGTCTGAATGATGAGGAAATACTAGGCTACAATGTCAAATTGTACTTGTGAAAACAGGCCGGGCTGCAGTGGGTTTCATTGCCATTGGGCCGGGGTAACAAAGTCCCCATTTTGAATTTCCAAGATGGTGGCTAAGATCAGATGATAAGATGACCTTGGAAACATTTAGACCCGCAGGTATCCAAAAGTTTGGAATTAATTAAGCCATTATTTTATAAATACGAACCGGACTATTTAGTATTACTACTACTAGTTCCTCCTTCCCAAAAAGTTACAAGTGCGCCCTCTGCCGCCTCTCACTTTTGCAATATTTAGTTTGTTGTGGCCGGGCATATCGGGGGCAATGAAAGTTTGTCGGGACCAAATCGAAACAACTTTACTGAAGTGGAACAAATAATGCGATGGACAAGTATGAGAAAATACGTGTGGTTGGCAGAGGAGCTTATGGGTATGTAACATTCATGCGTAAGATACAGGAAATCTGACAAAATATCTGCAAAGCAGTCGTGGTCGTGGTACCGCGCCGGCCGCCGGGTAGCCCCACTAGTGTGGCCGCGGAATGCTGCGCTGAGGTTCAGAGGTTCAGCGCAGCATACCGCGGCCACACTAGTGGGGCTAGCCGCCGGGTGACTGAGCTAAACTTGCGTTAACTTAGTTACACTTAATACATGTACACTGACTACAGTACAGTGTTGAACCTTCATCAGTTCATGACCATGATCTTAAAGGAGGAACCGGAAAATGTTCCATACTACTAAGCCTCCACTTTATCTCCCACTTGGCAATGCGAATATTTTTTAGGAAAAATGTGTTTTCAGTCTAGACTAGCATGACTATAAGTTGGATGCACATGTACATATGTAGTCTGGCAACGTGCTGGCCAAAGATTGTATAGCACCCTGTAGCCGCGCAGAACGATACATCTGCCATTTCGTTTGTCTACACACAAATCAAATGATGCTACAAATAAACGGTTGTTCAACTTGATTGTATATATTCATTTTAAAGAGGATCCTTTGCTGCATAAAGGATTTAGGCTGTGATGGGAGAGTTTGTGCTTGTCATTTAACGAAAATGGACAATATCGGCAAAAAAGGGATCATCACCGACACAAATTTTAATGCTCGTTTCATTAATTTTGACGTTTCTTTCATCACTTTTTGAAGTGTTTTGACCACTATTTCATCTAAAATACACAGCAACTTTGATTTTTCAAGTTTTGACAATATTGGCCTCAAAACCAGGAAATTGAGGTGCTTTTAGGTATTTAAAGGGAAAATACAACATTTGCAAACATCAAAAAATAAAACTACCAAATCATTTTGAAATACCTTGCTGGACTGTTAGTGAATGACAGTGTAAAACATCCTGTAAAATCATGGCACCTGGTATACTGTCATTTTCAAGAAAAGTGGTATTTTTGTATCAATTTCCAACGCTGATCGGCTGACCAGCGTTGGAAACAACTGTTTTTTTTTCAAATACTGGCCCCAGTTGGCCATCGCACTTGTTTGCAATCGATTAAACACCTATGAATGGGTACAAGCCAGCTAGAATGGTTCCCTGACCTTACAATTCCCCAATGTATGTAAACTGCTCTTTTTCTTTTTAAATGGAGTCAGGGAACCAGACTACAGGAAAATGATTGTTTTTCTTGGTTTTTATAGCATTTTCGAACCCAAAACCTCAAAAAAAGTCAGTGTAACTATATTTGCTATATATTTCCAACCCCCCAATTCCATCCATTTCTGAAAATTACAGCAAAAGCAAATGATGTATATTCCCTTTAAGCACCACATAAATGCCTTTATCACTATTATTATTATTTAATCTGACATGAAATCTAGAATGTTGCCGTTCTTCAATGTACGTTCACTTCCCTTTTTGTCCGTGTTTGTTTTCTCTTTGCACTGGACAGTGTTGCTACATGGAAGTGCAATGAAAGTTCCCGGATGTCTGACCTCAAGAATCAGTATCAATATGTGTGAAAACCGCTGTTAAACTTTTAACATTTTTTTTGCAAATCACACATATTATAAATTGATATGAACAACACGCGTAGAAAACAACTCTGCATGTCAGGATGCATCAACGTCTGTTTCATGAATGGTACAAGACACACTGTGGCTTCAGGTTCTAGGGCACGGACAATCGTCACCAATGTAGACGCAAAATAGTCATTGATGCATCCATTCTACATGTCATGTGATCGTAACCCATATGTGCGCATACGTATGATATTTCCCAACAGGACCGTGTATCTCTGTCGTCGTCTTAGCGACCAGAAGCTTGTCATCATCAAGCAGATCCCCGTGGAGCAGATGACGGGAGAAGAACGCCAGGTAGCCGTCAATGAATCCAAGGTGCTCGCTATGCTGGATCATCCGAACATCATCAAGTATTACGAAAACTTCCTGGAGGACAAGGCCTTAAGCATAGTCATGGAATATGCTGAAGGTACAGTGTAGTAGGTCGCTCTTCAAAACAAAAGTTGACCAAGTCGAAATTTTAAGAGTTGGAATTAGACAGGGCTCTGGAGTGCTCTGAAACGTGCAAAACTAAATCAGGCCAACTTTACTCACAGTTTAGCCAGCAAATTTCTCCAAAAATTCCATTGGGGCAAAGAAAATGTCCTCAGTCTTTCACCAACCAAGTTTGTACACTCAAGTCAATTTTTAAAGGAGACTTTTCTTCATTATTTTGCACATGAGAGGGAAGTCAAGTGATTTCAAAATGGGGCTAAAAAGACTAGACACGTACATGTCCAACCATGGTCCAACTGTTTGAAAACACTGACCTCTTCATTCAGTGTCATTAGTCTGGCTTGACTATGGAGAAATGTGTAGTGAATAGAGACTAGTTTCCGCTTCATGCCACATGTTTCTTTTGGCTCAGTTGATTGATGCAGTACTGAAGCAGTGTTGGACTGGTCGTTTCAGGTGCCAATCTATTTTCTTGTATTGCATGTTTTCAATACCTTAGGTTTTGGGACTCTCATACAGCACTGGGTGTCCCAAATGTTCAGACTAAGATGGAATTTGCGTCTCCCAGATGCAAATTTCATCTTATAAAATGTATGGTTGCAGCACCTGCTGCTTCATCAGACTCAAACAGGACAGCCGACCTGGCAAGCCCTGTGGTCGAGTGGTAAGATATCAGCACTAGTAAGAAAGAGGTCATGGGTTCAAGTCCCACCAGAAGAAGCGTTTAAAATAATGTCTCGCAAGCCCTCGGACAGCACTGAGGATATGGAGTTTATAAGGCAGAGACAGCAAAGGGCAACGAAAAATGCTATAAAATTTTCATCTCCATATAGCAAATTTCATCTCATAAAAAGTTTCAGGCTCAAACCAGCCAGCCGACCCTGTCAAGTTGGGTGGTTGAGCGATAAAGACATCTACGCTAGAAGGCAGGAATTTGTGGGTTCCAGTCCCACCCAAGTAAGCTTGCAGAATTATTTTTTTTCACAAGCCCTCAGACAAAACTGTATATTTACATCCTTTATAAAATACATTGACGAAGGTAAACAAAACAAAACCCAATTAAAAGTCTGTCATATTGTTTATGACACTGTACATTGCGCACTCATAAACATTGGGCACTGTGATTTTCCTTGAAATTCTTACAATAGAGTTTTGCTGTAGGACTAGCTTTAAGGGCCATCCCTAACGTACATGTATGTATACACAAAATGCATGCGTGGTGAATGCAATGTTAACCACCCCTCTCTCCCTTACCCCCCCCCCCCCCCCCCCCACGTTCGTGCGTACATACTTTATGGACAATCCCTAATTATGCTTCCCTTGTCTCGTTTAGTAATTTTGTGCCCAAAACACGTAGCACTTTTGTTGTTTTTAATTCCAGGTGGAACGCTATTTGATTATCTTCAGCACAGAGGCAACGCTCTACTAGAAGAAGGGGTAAGGCCAACAAAAAAAAGTCTCCGGTTTCTGGTATGGAGCTTGCCCAAAAAGTGGTGCGGCGACGCGGCTTTTTTTTTTTTTACTTGTTTTTTTTTTTTGCTTCAAATGTCGGCTGATGACTGCAAATGGTGCCGGACTAAACTTAGTGCAAATATTATGGGAGACCAGAGAGGCCACATAAAGCTTATTCTCGATCATAACCCCATCTAAAATACGTTAAAATTGTGCAGCAACAGGATTCCAGTCAAACCAGTGAGTTTGGCGGTTTTGAGACATCATCTTTCATTGAAAAAAAAACTTTCTCATTTTGCCAACGCGCATGGCTACGGCGACACGCGCGCATACCAGAAACCGGAGACTTTTTTTAGGCCTATGAATTGCTAGCCTGATCTGTAGTGATTAGAACATTGGCTAAGAGTGATTAGTAAATAACTATTAAATACACTATTAACTATTATCTGCAGAAGCTCAAGATCAGTGCATACTGGTCTCTACCCTCACAGGTACCCATTTATACTCTGTATACCCAATTAGACTTTGTAATATAGTTTTCATTTACACCCTCCTGTGACGTCACACAATTTCCTCGACATTAATGGCATGCCACTCGGCATCTTACACATATTTTCTTCCCGTAGGAAGGTGAAACCACATACAAATAATTCAAGAGATCATAGAATCACAGCAAGACACTTAGGTTTTAGTTGTCCATTTTCTCCTGCAATAAAAACTATCGATGAAGTTGGAGCAGAAAAATAGTCTTTTAAAACAATGGACATAGCAGGATTTGAACAGGGGATCTTAGCTCAATTCTTTAGCTACTACTATGTAGGCTACCATCGCAGCTCTACAACTTCTGGTGTTTTTTTTTTTTAATGCTTTAAATGTAACTAATTGACTTATTAATAACAATGATTTGACGTCATTGTTCTTTTCTTGTGGAAAAAAACACATTTTCCCATTTAAAGAAATTCAACAATGAAAATGTGCAAATGCCTTCGTTCAAGCAATAATGAAGAATTTTTGGATGGTGTAAGTAGGTAAATACACCCGGTAGCGTGCCGAGGGACATTCTCACCTACGAATGGTGCGCATCCTCTTGCATTATCCTTAACCAGATGACTAGTTACAAAGAAAGCAATTTATTTTCTGTAAACACTGATAAGATTTCTATTTCTTTCTCCTATTTAGGAAGTCCTCCGTCTATTCTGCCAGCTCCTCCTGTCCCTCCAACATGTCCACTCCAAGCAGATCCTTCATCGGGACCTCAAGACCCAGAACATCTTGCTCAACAAACGACGCGACGTTGTCAAGATAGCAGACTTTGGTATCTCCAAGATTCTCAGTAGTAAGAGCAAAGCCTTCACCGTGGTAGGCACACCGTGCTACATCTCTCCTGAGCTGTGTGAGGGCAAACCGTATCCTTGTCGTCCAAGCCAAAGGCTTGAAACTCCTTCTGCTGTCATGCTAATAACAAATAATTGTGCTGAAACTTTTCATTCTTATTTGTTTGCTGTCAAGTGCACCCCAATAGGGAACTGATGAGTAAAATCAATATTCATTTTGGTATCGATGGTCACATATCGGTTTCATTATTTCATTAGCCCTAACTCCCTAGCATGGTTTACTAGGAGCCATACCCATCCTGGCAAATCCCAACACCATATGGGAAACTGTACACACATATTTTTGACTTTGTTTCTGGAGGTGTGTCAACCCAATGTAAAAGACTGTCAGTTATTAGGGGTTCTTGTACCCATCCTGACAGATTCCAACAAAACATGCCGTTGGGGTTTGATGGGTTGATGAGTTCTGTTAGGGTTAGATATAAGTTCATGAGACAGTTAGTCTATTTCATAGTAAGAAAAGAAAAAAAAGTATTTTCTTTTGTAAACATTGACAATACTTCTTTAACTACATGTTTGGGAATTACACAGGAATTTTTTCCTGGATGAAGCCTGTAAAATTCTCATAACTGGAAATAATAGTATTTTTGGTTTTGTTCTGTCATGTCATGATACAAAGGGTATTTTCAAGTGGTGATATTTTTTGTTTTTAAACAGTCAGTAAAAGATACCTTGGAGAGTTGATAGCTTCTGATTGGTTGAGACTCGATCACGTGGGTGGTATTTTAACGTGATATAATGACCGCCTAAAAAAAACAAGCGAATAAAGTGGCCATCCCCCAATCCAGTCATTATCACGCAGTGAAGACCGGGTCCTCACACTGTTATTGTTTTCGTTTTTACCAGACTGCATACAAATGCATGAACGGGGAAGTGGAAGACATTTTTTACTCTCTGACTGATTAAATGTGTAGAATATTCACACTATTTCTTGTACATCTTTTCTTAACATTTTTTGTTCCAGCTACAATCAAAAAAGTGACATTTGGGCTGTTGGATGCGTTTTATACGAACTACTCACTTTGAAGAGAGCCTTTGAAGCAGACGTAAGTCAATACTTGCTGAATTTCTATCTTGTCATTCTGAAAGCTGGTTCATTTTTCATGTGAAGTGAAAGCAAAACAACTTTCAGGATTTGGTTTTTTTTTAAGTTGAACAAAGAAATTGACTGGAGCTTGGTCAGTTTCTTTGATCACCTCTAAAATTAAAATGCGCCTGGTCAGTTTCCCTTTGTGGTTTACTTGCAAATAAGGGAATGAATGTGGGCTTGGCCAGTTTTAAACAGTATCTTTAAGACTGGTTGGCGTCTGGATGCTGATAATTACCCGAGCTGAAGGTGAGGGTCATTTTTAGCACCCAGACTCCAACCGGTCCTAAAAAAAGTGTTAAATACCAGCCAAGCACAGTTATTCCCATTCATAAATATCTTTTTGGTAAACAAGTTTAATGTCATGTTTTTCGAAACACCCCTCTAGCTGTGCTATGGTATTGCCCTCTCGCGAGTTGCCGTGAAGAATTCCTTATAATGAAGATTGGCTGCGTGATACTGCGTGATGTTGCGTAGAACATGCCGGTGACCTCATGAACTGACCTCCCGGCACGCACCCCGTCAGCATATGAGCCGCCGTATACATAGCGTACTTGCAGCGAAGATGCAGCACATGCTGAACGAACTCATAGCGAATGCCGACGTATTGCACGAATTAGTACCGCTCGTCCTGCGAGCGGGCAGCGCATTGTACTTATTCGTAACTGATGAGAAACGCACAGATAGCGTACTTGCCACAACTCATACGCAGTTGATGCGCTGAATTTGTTACTTGACGTTTTGAGCGTACGGCTGCGTATTGAAAATTTTTGCTAAGGAACTCATAAGGAATTAGGATACGCAAAAGTGTGACAGGGGCTTATGACTTTGAAATACTTACTCACTGGCAGTGTTGCGCATGCCTTTTTCGAGACTTCCACTGTGAGGGACAAACATGCGCACATTTGATCACATGCATATGGTGCAAAGTATCCGTGACTCATTTTTCTGAGTGTGCATAAACCTGTTTCTCAAACCTTGCTAGTTTTTTGGCATCGTGTGAAGAGGGCTTAAAAGCAGCTATCCCAAAAGTAACTGGCGTAATTATTGTTGAAAAACAAACTTGGTTGAAAGATAGTAAGGGGCTAAACTCCCTGTGAAATTATTCTTTCTGGGAAGCTGTCATTTTGAAGAAATCAACGAAAGAAGGCCTTCCCAACGGTGCTTGTTAAAAAGCACCGTAGGAAATTCAAATTAGTAGTTCCTTTTGTTATTCGGTGAAGCGCGCACAAGCATTGGCACGACACACGCGCGCACGGTTGCTATAATTCATTGGATCAGTGCGTGACACTGCGTAGCTGCAATCGGCTCAGTGAGAACGTGTCTCGGACGCTGAATTCAGGCCCAATTCAAAACATGATTCAGCAACTTTTGATTTGAAATCGAGATCCTAGAGTGTTGTTTTTCTCAAAGTATACAGCTAAAGCTGAGCTGAAACGTCATCAGGTTAGTTGTTCAGCACCCTTCTTTAGATCTTGAGCACTTTTGTTGCTTCAAACGAACAAAATGCACAAATTACAAATGATGGACTGTACCTTTAAGCCTCAGGTGCCGTCAACAATGAGTCCCTCGCAGTGGTCCCTTCCAACTGTCTCTGTGTAACATTGCGCACAGAGTCTATAGACTCAAATCAAATTTGAGACTAAATCAGACCCCATGTTTTCCTTTGTGCACACCCCTCCAGAATCTGCCAGCCTTAGTCATGAAGATAATGCGTGGCTCCATCGCTCCAATCTCAGACCGCTACACCGACTACTTGAAACGTCTCCTACTCCAAATGCTTCACTTGGATCCTGACAAGAGACCCTCCATAAACAAGGTGATAGCGGAGCCGATAATCATCAAAACACTGGCCAATGTCTACATGGAGATAGGACGCGTCAAATGCCCTCTCAAGTTAGTCAGCAACTTTGTTTAACTCATAGAGCTATATTAAATTACTAGAGCGCTGACTCATGTTCAAAGTGATGCCTGCTGGGCGCATCCATGGTTGTACACAAACCTATGAAAAACTCAAAGTTTGTACGGCTTTTGTACGGCTATTTGCTTGGGGCCGTCCTCATAAGTCCGAAATTTCGGACTTATGAGGCGTCGGACTTATGAGGCATAAAATTTATTTATTCCGCCTCATAGGTCCGACGCCTCATATGTCCGACAACGGAAAAACGAGGCGTTTAATTTGTCGGACTTACGAGGCGTCGGAGCTATGAGGCGTCGGATCTATGAGGCGTCGGACTTATGAGGCGTCGGACCTATGAGGCGTCGGACTTATGGGTCTTTATTTGGTTAGGGGATGCGATTTTGTTGGACTTATGAGGCGTCGGACCTATGAGGCGTCGGACTTATGAGCGGACCCCCATTTGCTTATCTGCGTTTGTATTCTATACAGGTGCGTTATCGAAGCCGATATGCCCAAAACCGCAACACACGATCAGCATATGAGCGTTTTATTTTGCTATACGCAGACAGCGCAATGCAGATGATTACTGTGACTTTGTTTTAAACCGCCGTGACGCGCTTAAGTTGTTTGCGTAGTTCTACTTGCGCGTTGCATTTAGAGTACACTTTCAAAATTCTACCCATCTAATTTCATTATGTTCTACAAACACGCACATGAATTCAAAATGTCTGCGCCCAGGACGGCTTCAAAGTGTCTCCGCGCGCAAGAATGAGGAGTTAGCGCTCTAGTAATTTAATATAGCTCTATGGCTTAACTCTAATAAACTTATCCCTGCTACATGCTGCAGATTGCAGCAGTTTTGAAACAAGTTGTTCAAGTTGCAACTTGCTGCCAAGTTGCCCATTTTGTGCTTTGTTGTATCTTGTTGCAATTTGCAGGGTACATTGCATAGTGCCAAGGCTGCTACCACAGAATCCACCGTTGCAGTCGTTTGCAGGTGGCTAACTGCTCTGCCACAGCTGCTACAACAGAATCCACTGTTGCAGTTTGTTGCATTTGGCTGGCTTCACTGCACAGTGCAACATAATCTAGTGGTTGTATTTTGTTGCATTTAGCAGGGTTTTCTTTCCAGCATAGATATTTTTACATTTAGCAAGGTACCTGAGGCAATATGGCACAGGACAGGCTTTTTGGCTATTTGCCAAAACAACATGTTGGGCAGTCTTATAGAAATCCATAAACTAATTCGGCAAACAAACTTTATGAGGTTGAACCATGAGGTGGAATTTATGAGTGCGTGCGTATTACACAAGCGTGACTCGCACAAGCCTGGTGCCACCACAAAAAAATGGCTGTCGCAGAATTAGTTTGTACTTTTTGTTGTCATTGATACATACAAGTTTCTGCCTACTTTGTGGGCTTGTACTTGGTTACGTCTTGCTGTACATGTGTTAACATATTAATGGCCAAAAAAAGTTTAGTTCAAACGTTAAAGGGAAAATACAACATTTGCAAACATCAAAAAATAAAACTACCGAATCATTTTGAAATACCTTGCTAGACTGTTAGTGAATGACAGTGTAAAGCATCCTGTAAAATCATGGCACCTGGTATACAGTCATTTTCAAGAAAAGTGGTATTTTTGTATCAATTTCTAACGCTGGTCGGCCGATCAGCGTTGGAAAAAACTGGCTTTTTTTCAAATACTGGCCCCAATTGACCATCGCACTTGTTTGCAATCGATTACACACCTATGAACGGGTACAAGCCAGCTAGACTGGTTCCCTGACCTTACAATTCCCCAATATATGTAAACTGCTCTGTTTCTTCTTATATGGAGTCAGGGAACCAGACTACAGGAAAATGATTGTTTTCTTGGTTTTTATAGCATTTTCGAACCCAAAACCTCAAAAAAGTCAGTGTAACTGTATTTGCTATATATTTCCAACCCCCCAATTCCATCCATTTCTGAAAATTACAGCAAAAGCAAATGATGTATATTCCCTTTAAGGATAAAAAAGAAGATCCAATTAAATTTTTGTTTGTCTTGTTTATTGTTGTGCAGGATTCCCAAACCATTTGTAGTGACATCAAACTCGGCCAACTCCAAGGTACAATCCTCAAATCGGAAGGACAGCACTAAATCCCTGTCTCGGAAAAGTGAGTATATAAATCTTAAATGTAGTTCCTTTTTTTGCTCAGTTCTCTTAACCAGTTCGTGTTGGAGGACGTGATACCACGCACTGGCTGTTTTTATAAACAGGCACGGCTGATGGGTTAAGACATCAAGATTGCCTTGACTTGCCTCTGGGTGACGTCTAAACACGCTAATCCCTCGTGCCTTTTGTACACACACACAAAGTCCAAGCAATCTGTGGAGGCGGACCGTGTGTTGATCTTGAAGTGGCCGTTGTGCACGGCCTATTGTTGTACAATTTACGCTCCAGTGCACACCCTGGAGTGTTGAAACATATGAGGTTTCAGCAAGAAATATCGTACAAATACTGTTGAAGTCACTCTTGCGAATCGATGTTCGTGGCATTTGCCTGTGTAGAAGTTGGCTGGAAAATGTTGCCTTTTGCGAAAATCAAAAATTTTGACAAAATCCTGGCGTGTAGTGGTTAAGTTTGAATGATTCGTAGTAGTGGCTTTTACTGGACTTGTTTATTTGAATCCTACAGTCACTATATTACCCAGAGCTACTGAGTATAGAAAAGTACATTGAACAGTCAACAAATCATTTTGAGCTCTATTTACCAATCCCTTTTAAAGCCATGTAGGATTATTTGCAAATAAATTTAGGCCTAGATTATACTTTAAAATCCTCTGCACCGCTCCAGGATGTCACTGGCTCTGCCTCAACATATTGACAGTGATTGCTGGTGGACTTTGCAGGGTGGAGGCTGTGGTCACCCCTCCAAAAACCACATTCAAGAAATAACAGAGGATTTTGCAGGATAGGTCTCTCTCAAATGATGTCATTTCCTCCCGACCAGCCACGTGCATCGGCATCTTGAGCATCAACTTGCAAAATGCACATCGGCTGCTTCGTACTTCAAACATATTTCAAGCAACAAGCTCACGTGTTTGGAACATTTTCAAGCCTGGGCAATACGTGTTTGATTTCGTAAAATACGCAGTTGCAGTTCTCCTACAGAGATGGCCGTCATTGAGAGAGACCTATTTAGGCTGTATGCTATTTTTACATGGAGGCAGTTGGAGGATTTTGCAGGGTTCAGGTTGCATCCTAGCAAAAATGCCTAGGAAGTTAGGGTCAATAATAAACATGTCATACATTTTCTAATCTTGCCATCAGGCTCCAACTTGGTTCTGAACAGCAGCAGCTCCAGCTTGCCTAAGCTCCGGCCACTCTCAACTGTCTACTGCTGGGGTTATGGTGTCAATACCCCCGTCAGACTCCCCCTCCCACACAGTGACATACAGATTGCTCAGGTCTCGACCGGTCGCACTCAGAGGGTAGCAGTCACTAAGAATGGAAGACTTATCATCTGGGAAGTAAGTACCAAGAACGTTTTTAATGGAAAATATTGTGTTTGGAAGACTGGATAGGACACGCGTATACTTGTGCGCAGTGAAGATTCGGAAAATGCAGACACAAGCAGCAGGGTAGTACAGTGAGGGTTTAACGTTTGCGACCGTGCATGCGTGATGTGCGCGTGCTGCATGGTACTATGTGTGACGAACGCATTTCAAACTTTCAAACCCTCACTAAAAGACTACTCGTGCGTGCTCAAGATGGAGGGTGCTGTGTCCTATCCAGTCTTACTAATGGAGATCAATGGCTACACATCACCATCACCAATCTATTGCGTAAATTGCACAGCATTTTCACACTGTGCAACTTTTAAGTAATGACATTTCACAAAAGTTTCCAAGTGCTTAAGTCCTTGACTTACGTAAGAAATTATGGGGTAACTTGCGCAATCACTTTAAGTATTGTAAGTTGTGGCGTATCAACTGCAAATGACCTATTTAAGGCTACAGTTTATCATTTGCAGCGATCCAAAAAGTGACTGACTTATTATTGTTGAAAAGCATACTTGGTTGAAAGATAGTAAGGGGACTAAACTCCCTCTTTCTGGCAAGCTGTCCTTTTGGAGAAAACAATGAAAGAATACCTTTCCAATGGAAGACACATCTTTGGAAATTTACATTAGTAGTCCATTTTTTTTATTCGGCGAAGTGCACACAAGCGTTGACACGACACACACGGGCGCGCTGTTGCTATAATTCGTCGGATCAGTGCGCGACATCGCGTAGCTACAATCAGCTAAGTGAGAACGTGTCTCGGACGCTGAATTCAGGCGCAATTCAAAACGCGACGCAGCAACTTTTGATTTGAAATCAACATCCTAGAATATTGTTTTCTCAGAATATACAGCATTCACTGAAACTTCAAGTTAGTTGTTCAGCACCATTCTTTAGATTTTCAGCACTTTTGTTGCTTGAAACGAACATAATGCACAAATTACAAATGATGGACTGTACCTTTAACCAGCAAATCGTGATCGTTGTGGTCATTACTGCACAACTCAACGTTACTGCTTGGAGTCCATGGATAAATAACCCAAGAATTGCTGACGTTTTGTCACCAGTCATCCTCTGTAGGCACGGACTCTACCATGCTACCAGGAGCTGTGGATCAGCAGTACCCCAGCTTCATCCCCCGCTATCTAGAAGGCCAATCAGCAGTCACTATCCAACATGTGTCTTGTGGAGACATGTTCACAGCTTGCTTAACAGGTGAATTGTGTATAAATATCCGCAATGGTTGGAGATGGAGTTATTAATAATGTACTGGCTGGGAGATGTTGCTTGATTGGACTACTTTCTAACTGTGGGAGGTAGTTAAAGATGCGTTCCCATGCTATTTTTGAGTTTCACTTCGGAAAGGAGATTTGTTTTTTCCAGTGCTTTTCCTAGCAATGTAAGCTTTTTTCCTAGAAATATATAAGTTATTCACCGAATGAAACATCCACTGAGAAAAATCCAACACTGTTTAGTTATTGAATTATTTCTTCCCAAAATGTAAATTATTTGCAGCCAGCAAATAATTCGGATCGCGCAGGGCAGGTTCATTTGCATGCAAAATGAAAGCCCTTTTTCATTGGGTCGCTGACCCTCGAAATCGGAATAAAGTAGGGGTCTTTTGGTTTCATCGTTACAGAAATTGAAAATTTGTTAGGAAAAAAAAATCAATACAAACAGTGTCAAGAACAACCAGCTATGAGAGATTTTGTAATTTGACAAACTGATGAGAACGTATACGATCATAAAAACATGTCGCACAACTTCTCTGATTAAATAAGTAACCTGATGGATACTACGTTTCCTATTTTATTTGGAATATACACCCAAAGGGTTATTATCGAAAAATTAATGGTAAAAAACGATGCCCAGAAAAATGTCCAACTCTAATTACTCAAAACAGGGTTTTTGCTTATTCTTCGGTATGTCAGCTCTGCGATGATATCTCTGTAAATAGTGGGGATTGTGTTGTGGACAAATTCATTTGGAATAGACTAGTTGTATATTTAGGCATTAACTGCAGCAGCCGATATAAAGAAACTTTAGGCAATGGTGTAACTCCACTTTGCGCCTACTCATTATTGCGTAAATTGTACAATATTTCACATTATAACACCTCACCCACAGATTCTGTGTCTTGATTGGCCGAGAGCAAGTCACATGTTACTTTCTAATTTTGCTATCTTTCTGTGCCCAGCCAAAAGTACTATACCCGTAGCAACCAAAGTACTATACCATTAGCAACCAAAGTACTATTTCCACGGCGCGGTATTTGTGTGCAAATGGATGCTGGTGTGCGCATTGCAGACTTGGGTTCAAACATTTCGTGAAGGGGTAGTTTGGAAGAGCTAAATGCATTTCCCCCCAATTTTGTATTGAAATGGAAGTTTATTTCAACTGTGTTCAAATTTCAATAATTTAAAATATTAAAATCAAGCAGAATCTGTGGGTGAAGTGTTATAAAACAAATATTGAATGCTTCGAGTGGTGTAGTAAAACTAGCCTCCCGAGGTGATCCATGGACATTCTATTTTCCCGAGGCGATCGTGCTGATATTATCCTCGTCCAAGATGTTTACATTATTTAAAACGTTGAACAGCTACGCCAAGTTTTGTGAAATCGTTAGTTTATTGCGCAGCTGCGCACTAAATTGGTTGCATAAGTCCTACGCATAGTGTAAGTTGTGCAGATATCCGTTAAATTGGCTTCAGGATTCTGAACATTTTCACTGCGAGAAGATGTCAGAATAACAGTTGAGAATACAGTGCAAGTCAAAAAAAACTATACACTTTTATAACTGGCCATAGTTTTATTCTGTAGCAATATAGATAAGATATTTTCTTTTAAATTGTCTCATTCATATTTAGCCCTGACCAGTTGGTGCAAGTCAGATTTCACCCGACCCCTTTAATTGTCTCCTGTGCAGTGATGCATGAAAACGAATCCAGTGAAAATGTCACCAACAGAAGCAGGAAGAGTTACTCTAAAAGTACATATGGAAACATCTTATCGATTTTGCTACAGAATAAAACTATGGCCGATTTTAAAATGTATAGTTTTTTTTTCTCACACTGTATGACAACAAATACCTGATACACTGGGTCTGTTGCAGATGGCTTTGCCCCAACTTATCCTGGATGTTTATTTAGATGACTTCTAAATTTAAAAAAAAAAAACATAGCCGTCTGGTAAACAACTCAAATTTCTGTTATGTTGTTGTCATGTTGCAGACCGAGGTATATTGATGACCTACGGCAGTGGAGCCCATGGTAGCTTGGGTCATGGTGACTATCACGACGTCTCCCAAGCTAAGATTGTAGAAGAGTTGCTAGGTTACGAGGTCGTCATGGTATCCTGCGGTGCATCGCATGTCGTGGCTGTCACCAATGATAATGAAGTGTTCTCGTGGGGCAGAGGAGACAATGGTAAAACTGCAGTGATTACCGGCCAATGAATATCAATACACATTGTTGCTGAGCATGAAAACATTTGGCTCTACGACAACCCCTGGAGATTTGTAGAGACATTTTTTGACAGAAACAAGCTCTCAGCTTCATATCTTCGGCTTAGACGTCAGGAGATATTGGGCTCATGACTTGGGAAACTCGGCTCAACTTCGGTCCCCGTTATGCTTGACGAACATCCAATCCTGTAGTTTGAGGCCAAAAAATTGAACAGTTTTCCATTTTGTTTTGACATTAAAGCTTTCTTAAACCAGAATCCAGAGATGAAAGCCAGGGTTTTTGAAGCCAATAGTCCCAAATAAGGTGAATTGAGTACAACGCAATTTCCCTGTTAGCTAAACTTTACCACCGTTTCATTCCAAGTTTTTTCCAAAACTCTAAAAAATAGTACACCAGAAATTGCTTTCCTTTCATATAGACTTGAATATCCAACCCCACCAGTTCTGTGGTCTAGAACCCTGCCTTAACACCATGTATTCTTACCTGTCTGTATGCAGGACGGCTGGGATTAGACAGCCAGGAATCCTTTGCTTCACCACAGAGTGTCCTCCTCCCTGTACAGTCTCACATTGCCTCTGTACATTGTGGCTTGGATTGCTCTCTACTGCTGACAACTGATAAGAAAGTCCTAGCTTGTGGAAGCAACAGGTTTGTGTTGGCATTGCAGTCTAGATGAAGATGTCTTGTAAGATGGAAGGTTGTGCCTTCAAAATGTAAATTAATTTTGCCTTCATGCGATGTTCTTTTACATGTACAGCCTGTCTCAAAAAAAATGGTGCAGTCGAAAACGATTTTTTTTTTTTCAATATTAAATCTCAACATAAGTAAGTCGTTTTGAGCATCACACTAAAGAAAAAAGACCAGGCTTTCCAATACTTTTTGTTTCATCTCATTTGCTTTTGTCAATCCTGGGATAACTCCAGTTTACTGTGGAACACAAAAATCGAGTTTGTTTCTTTTGCTAAGTTGCAATCTTTTGTGAGCTTCAAGACAGCATGGCACAGTACTCGAAACAACTCTGCCCATACATAAAAGTGGCACAAAATCAATTTTGGTGAATCGCACTAAATTGATTATATCTCTGAATTGACAAAAGCAAATAAGATCAAACAAACACTATTGGAAAGCCCAGTCTTTTTTCTTTATTATTATGCCAAGTAAGAATGACTTATTATGAAATTTCATATTTAACCAATTTTTTTTCTGATTGTACCATTTTTTTTTAGACAGGCTGTATAATCGACGTACTTTATTCTCAGTGCATGACCACCTTCAAGAGTCCCAGTAGTAGGGACACACCGCGTGCACGTACCAGCTTGCAAGTGTACTGGCTGTGTTTCGGGGAGTCTGTTCTTGACATGGGTATAATTGTTCTCGCGCTCGAATGGCGGGAACACGACTTACGAACACTGCACTCAGAACAGGATCATGCACCGCCTATCCTGTCAGGGGTTGCACGAACAATATATCCGTGTCAAGAATGGACTGCCCAAAGTCGGCTGTATTGCGCTTGAATGTCACTCCCAGTGGTCTCCCCCAACTCGCCCTTTGTAACCGTTGAGGGGGTACTTGTGCATGGTCTCCATAAGCACTGCATTCTCAGTGCCATCTGAGGCTAGGGTGCAATACTCTAGAAGGAGGTTGAGGGTTTGAATCTTAGCCTAGAAAGCTTGTGATATTTTTCTCATGAGCTCTTAAACAGCACTGAGTCACTGCGACAAAAAGTCTTGCTTTTAGCTGTGTCAACGACTCGAATAAACTTTAAGCAACAGTGTAGCTTATGTACTCCACCATATTTTATTGCAGAAATTGGACAAGACGTCATTTCATGGAAGTTAATCAACATATACAAGTACTGATACTTACTTCTGTTCAATAAGTTTTTAGCCATTTGAAAAGAAGGAGAAAATGGCAACTAAACAAAATGTGAGATGCTGCATCAACTTAAAGTCCCCAGTACCATCACAAAAGCATGACTGTTCTAAGTTTCTTGTGTCACTATATGCTTGTCAGTCTCACAAGCACTATGCAAGTTGCATTGTCTGTGTACAAAATGTAACTGTGTGATTCTTTTTGTTTCTCCCCAAAGATATAACAAGCTAGGCCTAGATGATGTCGGTCCTAACAAGAAGACAAACGGTAAAGTAGATGAGATGCACACCTACAGTCCAGTGGTTTCATCCCCTATTCATCAGCTGTCAATCCATAGTGTTGCCATAGGAACAGCTCATGCTGCCTTGGTTACAGGTAGGAATTTTGGCCTTGATTTGTCTAAGCCCCCCCCCCCCCCCCCAAAAAAGTCTTCTGTATCTGGTATGGAGCTTGCCCCAAAAGTGGTGTGGCGACGCGGCTTTTTTTTTTTTTTTTTTCTCCTCTACTTTTTTTTCTTCAAATGTCAGCTGATGTTGCAGATGACACTTTGATCCCCTTAAAACTCTCACAAATATCCTTCAGGGTGGAGCTTGAGGTGACCTCAGGAAGGCCATAAGGCTTGAGAATTGTGCACCCACTTATGATCTCAACCAACACCAACATTCTACGGGAAATCAGGATAGTCAAAACAAAACTCAGAGAAAAAGGTAATGTCAGACCATACAGCGACATCGACATCGTGCATGTGCTGCCAGGCTGGTCAGTAGTCTGCTCCCTTAAATATTGCGCTAATTAAAAAGCGTTTACGACCAGCACTCTGTCAGTCTGGCTTCCAGACACACAATTACAAAATTACAACACCATCTGCAAATGGTGCCCGACTGAATTTAGTGCAAAATTTATGGGAGCCCAGAGAGGCCATTACTCGATCATAACCCCATTTAAAAACACATTAATACTGTGCAGCAACAGGATTCCAGTCAAACCAGTGACTTTGGCCGTTTTGAGACAGCATGTTACATTGACTTGTTAATTTTGCCGACGTGCATGGCTACGGCGATGCGCGCGCAGACCAGAAACCGGAGACTTTTTTGGGGGGGGGGGGCCTGATTATTTTGATTGTATTTTATTTTTGTGGGACAGTCTTCATCAGTGTGTTAGTCCAATAACACCATTGCAAGTGAATCAGACTCAAGTCCTATTTGAGTCACATTTTTGTTGACTAGGACTCGGACCGAAGTCACTATCGACAACGAATCTTTCTCAGATTTAACAATTTGGACTCGAAATTGGGACTCAGACTCGACTAAGTGACTGAAACTCAACAAATGACAAATAAAAATTTTAAAAACACAAATATGCTCATGTAGAATATTTAATGAATAACTCATTTACTCATCTAAGAATCTTTTGCAAATGGATTTTCAGATTTCCGATTTGATAAAAGCATTCACATTTTTATTTTCTTGGTCTGCAGATGATAATGTGTGCTTCACGCTGGGTTCCAACCAGTTTGGTCAGCTCGGTTGCGAGACTGAAACCAACACCCCAAGAATCCCTTGCCGACCAACATTCCACGATGACGTGCAGATAACGGCGGTAGCATGTGGGGATATGTTCACTGTTGCTTTAGGATCAGGTAAGACCGGCTTGTTGCCTCAAGTTTCATGTATGTCAACATTTGGCGATTGGAGAAAGATGCAATTTTCACCTGAGTTTTGCATGGCATCTACAGTATGTCCTAAAAGAAGTGTCAGTCTGACTGTTTTTAAATAACTACAAAACGATGAGGTCAGTTTTAAAATGTTGGCTGCGCAGATACCCCTAAGCCTTGGTCTCAACCCCTATGAGATTTCATTTAATTTCAGTCACGCATCACTACACAATTGGCAATTGATCACAACAACATTTTTGGACACTGAGACCAAGTTCCTTGCCTTAATCCATTTCAGTGCTGTGTTATTTAAGCTGTGTACAATACTGCATGTTCAGAAAAAAAGCTGATGTGGTTTGGGATTGGAATCGTTTGCCCTTGAGCATTAAACTGAGGTCTTGCCATAATGATTGATAGCCAGGCCAATGATTCCAATCCCAACCGCAGCCCTTTTCACAACATGAAGGATTCTACACAGCTTACTGAACACAATACTGATATTGAATAAGGCAATGAACTTGGTCACAGTGTCCAAAAATGTTGTTGCGATCAATTGACAATTATGCAGTGATGCGAGACTGACATTAAATGAAACTCATAGGGTTGGGCCAAGGCTTAGGAGTATCTGCACAGCCAAACATTTTCAAAATTGACCTCATGGTTTTATAGTTATTTCAAAAATAGTCAGACGGACATTTTTTGGGGACATACTGTAAAGTGATGCTGATGGTAAACAAAAAAAATCCGTTACAAAATGCCAAGCAGCATCACTCTGTGCTCTGGAATTTGTGGTCTCCCCAATGTAAAACCTCAAAAGAAACCGCCCGTTTAAACTGTCAGTGCTGAGATTTGTTTTAAAAAGTTTGAGCAATATGCTCCAGAGAAAGCCGTGGAAAATTGGGTCTTAAGATTTTTTTTTTGTATCAAATTGTCATATTTATGGTCTTTAACTTTTACATGGGATAATCATTGTATTGAATATTATCAATACTAGATTTCCGATATAACAATTATTGAAAATTCCGATATTGACGGTGTTAAGCTCAGTGAGGTATTGATGTTGTCGACATTCTTGACTTGTATGCTACTGTTCGTGAAAAAAGGCAACAGTCTTTTTTTCTTGTTTGAAACCTTTGCATCTTAGATGGCCAGGTGTTTTCCTGGGGCAAGAGTTCAAGAGGTCGACTGGGCCGACAGGAGGACCACTCTGGAATCCCACAGAAGGTGGAGCTGAATGAGGAAGAACCCTTCACAATAACATCCATCTCCTGTAACCATGGCAACACACTGCTGGCCACCAAACGTAAGTGTACTCCACTCTGAATGCTGTCTCGGAACCAAACATCTCTCATATTGGACTGAATTTTTCAGGGGTTGCTATTTTGTGACTGAATATGCCACCTCTGTTGCACATGTTATACTGTACTCGATAATGAACCAGTTCGCGTTGGAGGACTTGACAGGTTAAGACGTCAAGATTGCTTCGACTCACCACCGGGTGAAGTCTAAACTCACTAATCCCTTGTGCCTTTTGCACACACACAAAGTCACAAAGTCCTTGAAGTCTGTGGAGGCGGACCGTGTGTTGATCTTGAATTGGCCGTTATGCACGGCCTATTGTACAATTTACGCTCCAGTGCACACCCAGGAGTACTGAAACATATGAGGTTTCGGCAAGAAATGTCGTACAAATACTGTTGAAGTGACTCTTGCGAATCAGTTTTTGTGGTGTTTGGCTGTGTATCAGAAGTTGGCTGGAAAGTTTTGCCTTTTGCAAAATTGAAATTTACGGCAAAAGTAATCCCGGCGCAAAGTGGTTAATTTTTGGATAGTAGAAATGTCACTTTTGTCTACATTGTCTTGTCTGTTTCGTAACAGTTTTACTCTTTTGCTCTTTCTTGCAGCATGTGTTAATCAAGCAGATTCTCCTTAATCCTGTGCCTGGAAGACAGAAACTTGAAGAATGTTTTCATCTCTATTGCTTTTGGTGCTCACCAGTCAATCAAAACCCTTGCCAACAAAATTTCCCCTTTTTTTTTGACACTCCAAAACAAAAAAATACCCCAGGCTCGCCCGGACGTAACTTCAACGACCATACCATTGCCAACTACTTACAGGGGTTTCTGTCTCTCGGGTCCCTCACATTAGACGTTAATTTAGGCCCATGTACATTCCTATGGGAACTGTGTGTGCGGAGCCGCTATCAAATTGATCCACTCTTGCTTCTTGTTGCACAGTCAAATGAATCATGACCCTCAGAGTAGAAAGGTGATGATATAAACTCTAGGCTCGTCCAAAATAGGAAACAAGTTCCAACCATAAGAAAGTGATCAGATACCTGCATTAATTAGACTAAACGTAGTCCAGTTCGGACCACACAGAGAACTAAAATTGATTTTCAGGATTAACGAACCCTCAAAGCCCCCTCTTTTTTACAACTTTTCAAAAACTACATCGGAAATATCCATACACATTTAAAGAGTGTAGCCCCTTAGCTTTTCAGCAACGAAAAAATCTTTCCAATCAGGTAAATAGTTATTGAGTTATGGCCAATTCAAAAAAAGTGCCGATTCTGCAATCTGTCCTCGGTCTCAATTGTCATTTGTTAGGAATGTAATGGAAATGGGGTGAAGGTAGTTTTGCTTTCTTAATCTCTCTTTATTTATTTCGTTCATTATATTTTTGTATTGCTTGCAACAATGGTCATTTATCCTTTTGGAAGTAATGGTAGTCCTGAACAGAACTGTTTGGTTAACTTCTTGGATGTTTACTTTGCTGCTCTGTCTCTCTGCCCTCTACTTGGTAGCAGATGCAAATTTCAGTCCGTGTTCTTATTGCGGCAGTCAAATGTCAGTCGCCGTGGACAAAATGGACAAGCAGTACTTGTTTTCAATTGAGACTTCCTGTTTTATTTAACCACCCTGTACTTAAAGATAAGATGATTTTTGTTAGCACAGGGAATTTTCATCACATTTTAATGAAGAGTGAGATTCATAGTTTCATGCAAATGCCCATGACTAAATTGTATTAAACAAGAGACACTCCTTTCTTGTTGAAATTTTTTTAACAAGTGCACTTTTCACTTGCATTGGAATTCTATGTCATCGGGACCATTAAAAGTACATAGGATAATTTTATCAAAATTTTAAGTGGGTGTATAAAAACTAGCCTGTTGAAGTTTCAGCTCCGTGGATACTGCACATTTTGAGAAACAGAGAAAAAGATATGCACAATTTTTGGGGTCTCATAATTGGGTACCGTTGATAACACATACATGTATAACGCACATAAAATGTGTACTCGTGAGCACCCAATTTGAAACCACCTTCAGATGTCAGTTTTCTTCCGAATGATACCATTTCCGGCGGAATCATTTCACAGGGTATTGTGAGCAAAGTTTTCCAAGTAAATGAAGATGTTCCCACATGGCTCTAAGCAGGAAGATATTTCAGGAACTTGAGCACAGTATACTATTTTTTGACTCTAATGATTTTCACCAAATCCAGATTGAGATGTATTTCTTTTAAAAAGGCATATAATATATATACATTGTATATATTTTATGTAAATATGTAATGTATTTATAGTTTTCTAATAATCAAGTCGATTAAGTTATTTATTTTGATAACTGTACAGTTCATTTTTGTATGCTTTTGTATTAAAATGTTCCTTTAAGATAACCTTGCTCTGTGTATGGTGTTGCATTTTCATTTGTTAGTGTTGCGGGTGCAGTGAACTAATTCAAGTTAGAATTTCTACACCAGCTGATTAGCATAAAAAGTGACTGCACAATTTAAAAAAAAAAAAAGGAGATTGGCTTTAAAAAAGGTGGAATTGTGTAAATATAGCTGAGGATTGACTTACCGTTTTTTGGGCTTCCATCCGAGAGCAGATTTGATAAAATTACAGTTTAAAAATGGGTCCTATTTGCCTGAGAAAGTGGAAGGATGCCATTTGTAAAATGGAGGCATGCAGTCTTGGGAAGTACCACTTTTCGGGAGGTGATTATGTTTTTGTGAATAATTAAAAATGTCATCGGCTAACCCACCAAAAATTGAAAAGAAATAGGCAGAAGGATAAGAAAATAATTTAATTTTTGTTTGAAAAAGCCCAGTGATGTCGGCTTGCATGTTATTTGGCCCTGAACGTAGTTCATCAAAGTTTACAGTTTGTAGGGTTTCAATTGGTTCAGTGCACCCTTGCGAACCCAGAATGCTTGATTATGGAAATCTAGCGCCCTCTGGTTTCACTCTGTCCATGAAGTACACAATCTCATTGTTGTCTTTTATAGTTCCTGTATTTTACCCATTTACCCAGTAAATTGCCAACTTGCACATTTATTCCCAGGGTCTTTTACCATAGAGGTAGCTCTATGGTGCCGCAGACTAATCCCCGCCCAAAGTAACTTTGGATCATTGGAAATACACAATGGATGGACCGAGAACCAGTCTAGGTCTCCCCCAAGTCGCTTTTTCTGGCCGTCGAAGGGGTACTTGTGCACGGAGCCCATACCATCTGTCAGATGCAGCTCTGTATGCAAATAAGCCACTCTTGTTTGCACGTCATTATGTAAATTTAGTAAAACACCACCAAATATGGCTAGTGTATGTAAAAAGTCTGTATTTACCAGTTATTTAGACGATGAAGAAGAACACTAAAGCCACACTACCTAACCTCGATTTTTTTTTTCAAAAATGCAACAGTTTTATTCAACACCTAAATAACTAACTGATATAATCACAACATAAAAATGAAGTTTTTTTGCAAGATACAATTTCCTGTGCAAAACAAAGATTTGGTTGCAATTACTGATGCAAGTACATGTTAAAACGAAAACCTGAAATGCCGGCAACAAAATACTAATTTTCTTCGGGAACAGGAACTAACATCTATCTAATCTCACTTTAAAGAAACAACCTAAACTACAAAGATTAATAAAAAATAGATTTTAATATGATACGGAAAAAAAATAAACATTATGATTATAAAGCAGTTAAATTTGTTTGATATAAATTAACTTAATGCAAGTATATAAAAGCTACTTAATATAAATTAGACTTTGTTAATATTTGGACGTGTTGGTTGGCAAATATAATGGCATTTTTTTAGACCTACTGGCACTTTCATGCATGCAAATGCAAACTGATCAACTTTTTGGTCAAGCTGAATTGGTTTGGAAGTCTTTGTCTCCAAGTTGGAATCCACCTGAAAGCAGTACCGATGAACCACAAAAAGAATCCCTGAAGTATGGTTGCGCACGGCAGCTTTCTACGGTTCGCTATATTTCTCTTGAAAATCAGAAAGTTGTAAAACTATGAACTTTGTGCTGCACTGCGGGCAAAATTCTACCAGAATATTTTTGTTTCCAGTCTTCCAAATGTGTTGAACTGCTCAAAAGACCTTTTTTTTCCAGCTCTTGAAGAAAAGGAATGTCAAATTTATGGCAGATGTTGAAAAATGTCCCCAAATAACCCACTGAAAGGTTGATGTGTTTTTGTGCCCAGTTTTTATACTGGGGCTCTGGAATGTTGGCAAAATGGCTGCCATAAAACACATTTCAATACCAATGTGTGGCTGACATGTGCATTATGGGCAACCCTATCCTTTTATAAACAGCGACCGGAACTATGTTGTCAGTTCGATTTCGATTAACGTATTTTAAGTACTAAATGCAAAAATAAATAGTTATATCTTTTTTGGCAAATGACTTTAATAATGTACACTTTGGTTTGTTTGTTTTTTAGTAGGCAACGCCAAACTGAACACGCACACATTCGCATGCAGTCCTGAATACTTTTTGCCTCATGCCACATTCCAGCGAGTTTCCACGCATGAAACTGTGGCTCAGAAAATGTACAGGCTAAAAAAAAAAACTGGCCGATATCCAACAATCCCACAATGTATATTGCAATTCCTCTTCACTGGAAAGAAATTTCTGTTAGCACCATCTTTTGACCCGTTTCAACTTTGTGCGCTCTGCAGCTATGCAACTGCCTCCAGCCAATAACTCGAGTGAAAAAAAAAAAATCAGCTCTTTCTGTTCCTGTTCTTTTTGGTTTCGTTTCTCTTTTGGCTCGTCAGTTCACGAACAAGGCTTTCATAAGGCGGAGAAAGAACATACGTCACACAGCATGAACCTCTGAAGATCTGTGAAATTGCCTTTGCAAACAATGCAGGTACCAGAATGTCCCGATGTGCACGGCGCATTTCATTTGGCCGACGGCACATCGAAGACGTCTAATGATTGCTCCAACACCAAAACAGGCGACAATCCCCATGGTTTTTCGAGTTGTAAATTAACACAAAATCTTCTGAAATTAACACATATGCTTTATACAGTGAAACGTTGCTGTAACAACCACCGCTATAATGAACATCCTCTGTGGCTCCCAACATATTAAATTCTGTTATAATGCACAATCACTATAACAAACGACCACTATAAGGAACATTTTTTTCTGGACCCCACGGTGTTTTTTATAGCAGCGTTCTACTGTATTCTTATCAGCTACCTCCAGAACATAAGCTGTTTTTCAAGGCACAAGTAACCAAAGTTGGGCAGAAGTCTTTAAATCCTCCTATACTTATAACTATCACAAACTGTCAATGAAGTTAACCCCTACCTCTCTCAATAGCTTTTGTACAGGCTGGTCACCAACTACCAGAAACCCCTATGGATTAAAGGGACACTAGGTCCTGGAACAGCCCAATTGGGCTACAAAACGCGCTTTGAACGAAATGATTTTGATCGGAAATAACATTTAAAAGTAGGATATAAACATCCACACAACTATCCTTTCAAAACTGGGCGTTTTTGTGTAATTCCTGTATTATGCGTGCTAGAACAAATTTCAGGGTCCACTTTTGCGACCCCATAAATTTGAGCTAGTTGTGATTTCATTCGTGAAGTGCTCGTCTTTTGCAGACGTTGAAGAAGCCACTATTTTTGCATTGGTGATTGGTAACCGCTGTTCCCGAGACACACAACATGTATATTGTACACTGAGAACGACACAAAAAATGTATTCGTGCTCCGTCGTGTCAGATGTAAACAAGCAGGGTTTTCCGTCTTTTCTCGGGAACGGTAAGACATTAGGTTGGTTTCCTTTCAACCAGATGTCTGAAATAGGCTAAGTAAACAATCCAAAACATGAAATTTTCGAGGATTTCAGGACCTTGTGCCCCTTTAAACGGTGTACCTGTCAAAGCCTGTTGAAGTGGTTTGATAGATAGGGTGACCATTAATACTGGTACAGCTTGTGTGGCAGCCATTTTAAAGGCCAATGCCTTTGTTTGGCTGGAAGATTGAGCAAGCCTTTTGTGCCTTTGTTGTTACTGAGCTAAATCAATCATTGACAGGCACTCACCAGGGCTGACCCACCACATCTATCAATGTCAGTCAAGGCATGGTACGTACCCTCAGTTAACGAAACTACCACAGGCTGTCAATTGTACCAGTATGAGGCCAGTATCTGACAGATTTTGACGTGCAGGGCAACTCTCTCCGGATTGTCACTGAGAGAGGGAGGGTTTCAATGCCCAAATGGTCCGATTTGTACCAGTCAAACATTTTGTTTTGATTGAAAATACATGGTAACAAAAGACTTTTTTTTCATGCACCTATTTTTTTGATAAGGAAAATAACCTGCCCTAATCATGAACTCAATTTAAGACTTAAAATCAAAATCACCTGAAACGTATGAACAAATATAAATCCACCGTAGGAAGTAACATGCACTTTGGGAACTTTCTGTCATATCTGGAAGCTTACATGTAAACATTTTTTAAAAACTTTTTTACAATTAATGTTACAACTCGCCACTCGATAGAGCCAATGATTTCCAGCTTTCTCTCCGCTTTGACGTAAAAAAAAGAACAAAATGATTTCAACTTCTTTCATTTTGCTCAACATTTTTGTCGAACCCTACGATAATCACATTTGGTTGCCTTGGCCATTCATGCATTGTAAACTCAACAAGTCTTTTCTTTCTTTTTTTGTACCGTGCGTCGAACATTTGCAGTATTTTTACACTTTTGCTTGTTTTAAAAGAAAAGACTGGCTCTGTTTCGCTGTATTATACCTCGGAAGCAGGTCATCAACATATTCCTGAACTTCAGTAAGATCCGTTAAAAAACATAAAGACATTGTCCATTCTCAACTGCAGCAGTTTGCTCGTAAAATCCGCAATTCCTGTTTGCGATACTTTTGCTTGGATAGGACGGCGCGTGACATCATCAATCCCACGATTCCTCATCGCCAGCTGCTCCATCGGCAGCAAAGTTTCCGCCTCCGTAATCGCCACCACCAGAGCCCCACTCGTTGCCGGTATCCCGCCCACCACCACGCCCACCGCCACGCCCACCAAATTGCTGTCAGGAAAAACAACCGAACAAGGTTGAGCGTAACACCCAAGCCGAGCAATGTAAGGGTCTGATCAAAATGATCAAAATTTGATATTTTTTTTGTGTCTATTATAGGACTGTCTACTGTTACACTAGAGCCTCCAAACCATGGTTTGCACAATCTACGTCTGCCCCACATCTGTCAACAAGTTCATGCTTGGTTTAACCCCTTAAGCACGGGTTATAATGGGGACATTCCTCCACACATAGAGCAAGTGGCCCGCATGACTGCACAGCCTTTGTGTGGTAGCGGGACTGCACAAAAGCAGCAGCTGTGGAACTACCCACTAGCCGTGTGCCGCGGCATACCACAGCTGGCAACTGCATTCCAATGAGGATTAGCGGCCGCGGCCATGACCGCTTCCCGGGCCCATGGGGTTAAATTACCTTGCACAAGCATGGCCTAGATTGAATGAAAACCTGGCAATACCAAGATGCGTCCCACATGCAAATGTTGAACATAAGATTGCGAACAACACATGTACTACTACCTAAAGACAAGGTGGCTGCCAAAACCTCCGTTTTCAAATGTAAACTTTTGAGACCAATTCACCAATCATAGGAAAACAAGAGCCCCAATTGAAACCTGGGAAAAAAAATTCTTCCCTGCTCTGGTACAGAGTTAGTGGAAGCCTTACTATGGAGCAGTTTCAGTGGTGGACCTTGGCTGAAGGTTTCAAGTGTGAATTTGTTGTCTTTTGCCTCGGGCCGCCCCAGGCTTTTCACCAGCCCAATTTTCTTTCAGTGTGAATTAAACCCTTGGTATCATGATGGGAAGGAATTGAAATTGCGAAATTGAAGTCAATCCTTGTCCTTCTCACCTTTCGAGTATCTCTTCCTCCAAAGCTGCCACCAGCGCTGCCATGGAAAGTCCCAACGGCTGAGTCTGCTGCGGCTTCTAAGAACTCAGGAACGTCTTGTTGAGCCTGCAAGACGGCAAAAAAGGCAACTCTCGGTTAAGATGGAATTCTGAACAAACTATTCCTCAGTCCCAACTGAATCTTGCACTTGTCAATGAATAAACATTACTTGAAGATTAACTGCGATTGTAAACTAGGATATCATTAGTCTAACAGAAGTAACTGAAAGCTTAATCAGTGTCGCAGATATGATAGCATCACGGACATGACAATGTCACGGACAATTGTCACGGCAATTTCAGTATCACGGACACGACAGTGTTCAAGCATGAGAGTGTAACGAACATTACAGTGTGACGGATATTAGAGGGTCACAGACATTACAATGTCACAAACATAACCGTAACAGTTTTGTGGCCATTAGTGTGGTGGCCATTAGGCTGTCATGGCCATTACAGTGTCATAGCCATTTAAGTGTCACAGATATGACAGTGTCACAGACATTACATTTTATGGACATTACAGTGACACATACATTAAAGCTACAGTCCATCATTTGTAATTTGTGCATTTTGTTCGTTTGAAGCAACAATAGTGCTCAAAATCTAAACAAGGGCACTGAACAACTAACCTGATGAAGTTTCAGCTAAGCTTCAGCTGTACATTCCGAGAAAAACAGCATTCTAAGATCTCAATTTCAAATCAAAAGTTACTGAATCATGTTTTGAATTGTTTTGAATTGCAGCTATACGCGACGTCGCGCACTGATCCGACGAATTATAACAACCGCGCGCGCGTGCGTCGTTCCAATACTTGTGCGCGCTGCGCTGAATAACAAAACGAACTACTAATTTAAATTTTCCTACGGTGCTTCTTAAGAATCACCGTTGGAAATGCCTTCTTTTGTTGATTACTTCAAAATGACAGCTTCCCAGAAAGAATAATTTCACAGGGAGTTTAGTTCCCTTACTATCTTTCAACCAAGTTTGTTTTTCAACAATAATTACGCCAGTTACTTTTCGGATGGCTGCAAATGATGGACGCAAATGATGGACTCTGGCTTTAAAGAGACTCCAATATTAAACTGTCACAGACATTACAGTGTCATGGACATTACAGTGTCACTATAAACATAAGTGTCACTAACATGAAAGTGTCACAGGTACAGATCTGTCAAGTCTACTCACATCAGCCAGGATTTTAATCAGTGCTCGTGCATTCTGCGAGTCGCTCATCGCATCGTAGAAGCTGGTTGCCTTGCCGAGATTGCCGACACGCCCAGTCCGACCAATGCGGTGCACGTACTCTTCTATACTAGATGGCATATCATAGTTCACTACGTGCTTGACGCCTGATATATCAAGGCCTCTCGCAGCCACAGACGTAGCTACCAAGATACGGGCCCTGCCGCTTCGGAAATCTGCGAGGGCCTCCTCCCGTTCACGTTGTTCACGATCGCTGAAACACAAATATTAGTTCAGAATACTTGAAATGAACAAAAAAAGTACCTTTAACCCTAACCCACCTCACTCCTCCAAAATCCTCCTGGCGGTTTTGGAGGATTCTAGAGGATTGAGGATGAATGGTGATTGAATCAAATGAGGATTCTGGAGGATTGAGGATGAATGGTGATTGAAGCACATGAGGATTTTGGAGGATTGAGGATGAATGGTGATTGAAGCACAAGAGGATTTTGGAGGATTGAGGATGATTGCATTTTGAGGCAGGACTGTCTGACAATTTTGAAAAATTTAGGCGGAGTTGCAAAATTTTGGAGGATTTTGGAGGATTGAGGATGGTTGTAAGCAACAAGGGCCTAGGGGGTTAGGGTTAAGGAGCTCTCACATATGCTGCTAAGGACGCAAATAATGCTACCCATTTAGAACCGGGAGAAAGTCTAGATGCACACTAGAATTGAGCTTGCACCCCCACACCTACAGCCATTGGTTAGTTTATCAATCTGTGCTTGATGACATGTATTGTCCTCGTAATTTATCTCTGGCAATTTTCTTCACTATCTCAACTTTTCATACATTGCACTCAAGGCTACACTGCAATACACTGCAGAATTGTTTTCCAAGAGTGGCTTGTTTTTTTCCCGGAAGGTCAAGGAATGAGGCCACTCAGACTATTTACCCGTGGATGCTGGTGGCAGGAAGGGATTCTTGACACAGGCAGGTGGCCAGGAAATCAGCTCCCCGCTTGGTCTCGGTGAACACTAGCGTACGCTCGTCTTTTGGAGGAAAAAAGAAAAGAATAGCAGATACCTTAATAACATTCCAATTTTTTTACACAATAGGGTAAACTGTGTTTCATTAAAGCACCCCAACTCACTGGCACTTTGTTTAGGTAGGCACAAGTCATCAATAGTTGGACCAGTCCGGTTAACTATTTTGGACCTGCATACCAAAAACTCTGAACGTGATCCACTGAGAACACCTCATGATTTCAATCAGGAAACAATAAAACCTACTAAGTTAGTACGGCAGATAGGTGATTGGATTGTGCCTTTGATGACACCAGCATGGCATTTGGCACACAGTCAGAGTATGTCACGAGAAAGATGTTTGGCTATAGGGCCATCGCAGATTGGCCTTTGACAAAATATAGGTAGAACAACAAGCAATGGCAGCCATTTTAAAAAAAATTGAAAATTGCTCATTATTTTACCTATATTTTTTTCGAAGGACAAATATGCAAGGGCCTTACAACCAAATATCTTTCTTTAAATGAACAGCACAATCAATTATGTCATCACACGTAGCATAGAATCAAATTCCTATGTTTTCGCACTAATGCAAATAATACAGCTCATGTTCAAGGGCAGGATGCGAAATTAAACAAGCGGTCACTCGACGATTACCTCAAGGTTTTTGCAAGGTTCAACAAGCTTTTACAGGGTATCTCAGGGTTTAACCTCGAAGTTCACACTCGCTTGATTTTGCATTCTTCCCTTGGTGAATCATACTCACCAGGATTGTTCATCAGCATCTCCGACAACTTCTCCTTCTTATCGTACTTGCCCACCTCGATGATCGTCTGTGTAATGTCGGGCGTGGCACCGCCGACCCGCCCCACCGTCAGGAACAAGTAGTCCTCCAGATACTCGGCAGCCTTCTGCTGGACTTCCTGGGGGAAGGTGGCGCTGAACATCAGGCACTGGCGCTCTCCTTTCTTGGGCATGTCGGGTAGGTAGATCAGCTTCTCCATCTCCGGCCCAAAGCCCATGTCCAGCATGCGGTCTGCCTCGTCGAGCACCAGGTACTTGCACTTGCTAACTTTGATCTGTTAGGGGTTAGGAATCACATGGTGTTGAGAGGTAACTGGGCATTGCTGATCAGAAGTCTTCTCAAACCCCAACCTCCCCTAAGGCTACAAAATACGACGACAAGTAATTTGCAGTATGCAGTACTACAGCCTAACAGTGTGGTGTTTGTAGTGTTTTATGGTACTTCATGCCCAATATAATCTATGGGAGTTAGGGTCATGACTACAAGTTTGTCAGGAGTTGTAAACATTCGAATTTGTCCATAACTTAATAATGGGGAGTTCATTATTTCCTCATTTTGCATGTTGATTATATTTTTCTTTAAATTTCTATTTCTTGGTTGCATCTCTAAAATAGAATGGGCTCTACATCTTTAACCACTTAGCAACTGGGCCCAATTTCACGGCGCTGCTTAGCAAAAAAATTTGCTTAGCACAAAAAAAGCCTGGCTTATAAAAGCAGTTTACCAGCCAAAAACTCCACGTGATTTTCATGCTATAGCAAACAACAGCTGAATACTAATCACGAGCAATATACATCACATGGAGTTTTGGCTGGTAACCTGCTTTTATAAGCCAGACTTTTTGTGCTAAGCAAATTTTTGTGCTTAGCAGTGCCGTGAAATTGACTACTGGACATCACTGTACTACAATGGATTTATTCACTGAAAAATCAATAACACCATAGAGTGCTGGGGCAGTTTCAGGGGGTTACAGTGAGTAATAGACAGGGCGGTTTCGGGCGCTACAATGACTAAAGGGTTAACCAATCTGTCAATGAAACACCAACAGATCCTGCGAGCTGTGAACCTGTTTGCCTGTCCCCAAACTAACAGACCATCCATCTGAAGTTTCTCCAACCTACCCTTCCACGGTTGATGAAGTCCATGAGGCGGCCCGGGGTAGCCACCAAGAGATGGCATCCCTTGCCGACCTCTCTGAGCTGATGCCCCACGCTGGTACCGCCGTAGATCACCACGGGGCGCAGCATGGTGCCCCGGGCAAACTTGTAGGCTTCGTTGTAGATCTGGCTGGTCAGCTCACGGGTCGGCGAGACGATGATGCACTGGGGCTCCTGGAACTCGGAGAAGGAGCTGCCTGTCACTCCGTCGCTCAGCATGCCGTTGATGATGGGCAGGAGGAATGCAGCCTAGGAAGGAATGTGAAGAAAAAAAAAGAAAAACCACAGTTAAGGGATTGATTCATAACACTGTTCAGCAGAAAGCATCATTTTACCTCATACATATTCATGAGCAAGAGCCGAGTTCTTACTGGTCTGTTCACCACCACGTCAGAATTTTTTTTGCGATTTACAAAAAAATACACTCATTGATTCATGCATAAGGTAAATACGCATGCACAGTCGTCTATCGCATGGGTAGCCTGTGTGATAGACTACTACGCAGTAAAAATTCCTGGAACTATGGAACAGGGTAGTGCGCACACAAGAACATCGTCCAAGCTAAATGAAACGATTACGGCATATGCACAATTTAGGACTGTCTTGACAGCCCTATGTTACTTGACAAACTTTTGGTGAATACATATGAGGTCTAGTATAACAAATATAACATGCTTTATTACAAACATCATCATCATCAGACGTCGTAGGCTACTGCCCGTTGACGCAACAACCGTCCACTTCTTTCGAGTTTTGTGGCTGGTGCAGGGATAATTTTGCGTCGGTGCAGACAGATAGTTGATATTAGATCCCGAAGATATTGGATGTGGACACACTAGTTCCCATACCTCGGGGAGCTAGTATTGACTATCCACCCTCAAACAAGGTTATATTTGTAGTAAGCATACTTATTAGTGTACCTATTAACTAGTAATGAGGATTAGACCCCTAGATGACCTTTGACCTCAAAAGTCATCTGAAGGCCCTGACCCAAAGATTATTGTCACCAAGTTTGGTCGAGGTTTTCACATGACAGCACCAAACAGAGGGTATACAATGTACTGCATTCTGCCCATAACGTCCGCATGCCCCTCATCTCCAGTGAGCATTATAGCAACTTACCGTCTTGCCTGAGCCAGTCTGCGCGCAGGCCATGAGGTCCCGTCCACCACTGATGATCGGTATCCCGTACTTCTGGACCGGCGTGGGTTTGCTATATTTGGCCTTGACTACGTTGCACTTCACCTCGGGGCAAAGGGTGCTCTCCTCAAAGCTGTGGATACAACGTGGTGGCTCTCGGCCTGAGGAAAAAAGGGGGGAAATATAATGACTCATCATGAGAGGCTCAGAAAATATTTTGGTTTTTATGTAAACTGTGCCCACAAACTACCACATCTCCAAAGTAAAAACAAATATTATCAAGATTTGTGAACTGTATGCTTAATTTGCTAAGAGAGCTTATAGCCACCTAGAATCATGTGCAATTACCTACCGATTTAAAGAAGATGGGACTGGTATCAAATACCCTGTGAAATTAGTCCGCCTGAAACAGTATCGTTTGGGAATAGAACTACCATCCTCCAAAATCAACTGGCACATTGGAAGTGGTTTCAAAATGGGGTGCTCGTTGGCACACTTTTTTTTTAATGTGCATCAGCAACAGAATCCAATTACAAGAGACAAAATTATGCACATGTTTGTCTTTTTTTTCAAATGTACGGTATCCACCAAGCTAAAACTTCAATTACCCCTTTGTAACTCTTTATTTCCAAACATCTGTCGACTGACTGATCGTTGGAAATCACCTACATTTCTTGATTTCTTTTTAACGACAGCAAGCCAGACCAAATAATTTCTTTGGGTGTTTAGTACCAATACGATCTTTAATCAAGGAAGCTTTTTTGATAATAATGGATTGCTTTAGGGATAGATGCAAATGATCCTAGGTGCCTAACAAATATTAGTCCCATTTTGAGTGGTACTTTACCTGTGACTTCGACGGGAATGTCGTCATACTTGTCAAAGTTAATCCCCTGCTGCATATAGTTGTAGATCTGTTCCTCGTCCTCGGACGGTGCGGGGGGTATGTAGGTTGATGGAGGGGGACGACCTGACAAACCGACAAAAAGGGCGATTCACACTCCATTGTAATACCATGGTATACGACTGAGAAATATTCCCTGACCAAGCAATGTTCATGTGACGTATTGTACCAGTTTATGAATGACCACTGAATGGACTTCATCAATCATGTTACCCTTGGGACATCATCCCCATCATTCTCCAAGAACTTTAGCCCTTTTCCCCTGTTGCTTTAAAGGGAATATACAACATTTGCAAACATCGAAAAACAAAACTACCAAATGTTTACGAAATACCTTACTAGGATGTTGGTAAATGACAGTCTAAAGCATCCTGTAAAATTATGGCACCTGGTGTGAAGTCATTTTCAAGAAAAGTGGTATTTTTGTATAAATTTCCAACGGTGGTCGGCCGACTACCGTTGGAAAAACCTAACTATTTTTCAACCACTGCTCCAAATTTACCATTTTTTCAGTCCAAATTGTATTTGCTATTGGTTACATGTTCTTGAACGGGTGCAGGCCAGTTAGACTGGTTTCCTTACCTTACAATTTTCCAGCATCTATCAATTGATCCATTTCATCTTTAGTGGAGTCAGGGAACCAGACTACTCGAACATTTTTGTTTTTCTTTGTGTTTCCAGCATTTTCGAACACAAATCTTCAAACAGTGTCAGTGTAACAGTATTTGATCTATTATATTCACCCCACAACTAGTGTATTTCTGAAAATTACAGCAAAAGCCAATGATGTACATTCCCTTTACCACTAACGTACCCGAATCCATCAAAATCCACACCCCTGTTTTGGAGTACTTCGGCAGCTTCAGGATACCTCCATATTGAAAAAAATTGGGGGATTTTAATGGATTCAGAACAGTATTCCCAGCGGTACTGCAGGATTTTGATGGATTCAGGATACCTCCATATTGAGCAGTTGGGGGACTTTGATGGATTCAGGATCTGAACAGCTTAACTCTTTGGCTATATGTTTGGTGTGTATGAGGTACATGTGCTACACTGGTGGATTCAAAAGTCTGCTTACTGTCTCCCCCAGCTCCAGCGTCTGCTGATTCCTCGTTGGGGCACTCCCTGGCAAAATGCCCGGTCTGGTGGCACTTGAAACACTCTCCGCCTAAGTAGTCGAAACAGAAAACCAAATCAAGTATTAACAACAAACCCACAGGCAGTTAGTGCCCCTCATCTGGGAATCCAAACAGAGTGGAGGATACCTCCATCACATGTGTACTTGTCAAGTCTCATGAGTTTCACTGCTCAAACAGTCAATAATTCACTGCTCACCCTGCTAAATGCATCAGAAAGCAACAAAGGTAAAAAGTTGTTGCACACTGTTGCATTTAGCAGGCAACTCAAGTCCCCCTGCTTTGTTGCATCTTGTTGCATTTAGCAGGGTAATTGCTCAGTGCCAAGGCGATACAACAGACTCCACTGTTGCATTTGGTTGCATTTAGCAGGGTAACTGCTCATAGTGCCAAGGCAAAACAATAGTATGCCTAGCTGTTGCAGTTTGTTGCATTTAGCAGGGTAACTGCTCATAGTGCCAAGGCGATACAACAGAATCCACTGTTGCATTTGGTTGCATTTAGCAGGGTAACCGCTTGGTGCCAAGGCTGGTATGCACTTGGTTCACTGCACAATGCAATAGAATCCACTGTTGCATCTTGTTGCATTTAGCAGGGTAACTGCTCATAGTGCCAAGGCGATACAACAGAATCCACTGTTGCATCTTGTTGCATTTAGCAGGGTAACTGCTCATAGTGCCAAGGTGATACAACAGAATCCACTGTTGCATTTGGTTGCATTTGGTTGCATTTAGCAGGGTTCTTATTTCAGCCAAGTTGCGTTGTATCGCGTATAAGTTGCAGGATTCTGAACAACTTCCCCGTAATCTTCCTGCAATGAAGTTATCAGTATCAGCGAGTCAAGCAGTTGCTAATGAAATTTCCCGGAACATGTCCAGGACAAATGCAGAGCTTCTTCCGGACACAGTGAATGCTTCTACCCCCAACTTGTCTGGAACTTGTCCCCCGGATATGAATTGAGATGTGCCACAAAAACTTATTTGCTAAATTTTTCAGAACACTGGTCTTGACATACTTTTCGACAAGTATGTCTGTCTCTGTGTTCAACAAAAAGTTCCTTTTGTTTACAAGTTTCATGCATGGAATATTTGGGAGGTTCTTTTTTGTGTACATGTATTTTGAATATGCCTCTACCCGATTCTGAGAAGCCTTCGTTTCCACAGTGTTTTTTTAAATGATTGAACCAAATAATCTAACAATCATTCTTGTTCTAATCAAGTAATGAGTCAAGCCAAAAGAGAATGACTCTCTAATAAACGGTACCAACGGGCACAGACTAATCCATATTTGTATTTATTTGTCGTCAAGTCTAAGACCTACCTCCACCTCCGCCTCTCCCTCCACCAGATTTAGGATTGGGGCAATCCCTGGACATGTGGCCCTCCTCCTGGCAGTTGTAACACTTGTTACCTGTTGCAGGGAAAAAAAGTCACAACAATTGAAGTTATGTTTAACCCTAAAAGGGCTGGGTTATTTTGACCATCTCTCAGCCGGGGGGGGGGGGGGGGGGGGGGGGGGGGGAAATTCCGACCCCCCCCCCCCCCCCAAGATCTCGGCCATCGACGAAAAATTTTGAAACTCGGTACATGCATAGACAGGGGTGTGAGTCACCACTGATAAAAATAGCTGAAAACTGCTGAAAAAGGTGTAAAAAAAAGCTGAACTTTGGAAATCTCCTATACTTGTACACAGCAAGTGAGGGAAAAGAGCTGAAATCCAAAACAAAAAAAGCTGAAATCAGCTTTAAAGCCGAGATTTCACACCCCTGATGGAACAACTTATCATGAACATACCAAAGAAACAATCTACTCTACCTTAAACATTCACAACAGTTCACTGATAGGGTTATGCTTCAATCAAGAGCATGCAAACAGCCCCATGCTCTATTTGCTTCTTTTATTTTGCTGTTAATTTGATATTCACTGCTTTATCCCGTTCATTAGTGTGACATCATCGCAGTTCAACCATGCGTTCTTCACACGGTGTAGCATAGCACGAATGGAACCGGAAGCTAACGCACCTCCAGCGTTTATCCAATGGGCGCTAGTAATCAGTGGTACGCGCGCGTGTATGACGTTTTTACTAACGAACTGGATGGGTTAACCTTTTCTCAGAAGTTTGTAACTTGCTTTTCATGAAGCATGGAAATAAATGTGAAGTTGAATTGAATTGAGACGACCCCCCCCCCCCCCCCCCCCATGCAACACACTTCTACAGCATATCACACAAGAGTTGGATTAGTCTGCAGGGCAGAAAAGACAACAGGCTACCTCCGCCTGACTCTGCATTGGGGCACTCTCTCGCGAAGTGTCCAGTTTCGTGGCACTTGTAGCACTCACCACCTAAGAAATGAACGACAAGACTACAGCATTGAAAATCAAGAGCGACATTTGTAAGTGCCAATGTAATATTTTCAACGGGCTGGATTCAAAAGCTTCTCCAATGTACATATTCGCGTGGAACAAAAGCAGTGACTTCCTACCTCCCCCGCCTCCGCCTGATTCTGCATTGGGGCAATCCCTGGCAAAATGGCCGGTTTCATGGCACTTGTAGCACTCGCCACCTAACGGATGAAAGAAAACATACTTCAACAACAAATTCAAGAGTGACAGCTGTAAATGCCGTAGTTAAAGTTGGCGTGAAATGCATTTTTCATAGGAACATATTCTGAGCAACTTTCTACTCTTAAATCTATCAAAACTATTTGACATCCCTTTTTGGTTAATTGTATCGAGAAGTGCCCTTCTTTACACATTTAAAATTGTCCATACTTTTCCAGACAAATGAGGGCGCTGTTGCTGTGATGTCATTTCAGGAAGGTACTGTTCAGTTTAGAGGTTTTCTGTTCAAAATTGTGAACCCCAAAATTTTGTTCATTGAAAACATCAAGATGTTTAGATGGAATCATCGTGCATTTTTTTGAGCGCTGCATTCTTTTCAGTTTGCAGACTGCGTAAATTTTGTTTCAAAAAAGAGACTTTAGAAACATTTCACTAACTAGAAACAGTTTGTTTTTGTTTTAGAGTTTTATGTGTGGAGTATTTTGGTGATATTGGTATTTTTTTTTCTTTTTTGCATTTTGTGTTTTTGCATAGGCCTCTTACCAATTCGGAAAAGAAGACTTCATTTTCACAGGTTTTTAAATTAATTAATTGACCCAAATAATTTTATTATTTATATGGGTCCGATGAGGCACGAATCAAGCCCAAAGAGAATGACTCTCTAATAAACGGTACCAACGGGCACAGACTAATCCAGATTTGTATTTATTTGTCATCAAGTCTAAGACCTACCTCCACCTCCGCCTCTACCTCCACCAGATTTAGGATTGGGGCAATCCCTGGACATGTGCCCCTCCTCCTGGCAGTTGAAACACTTGTTACCTGTATTACAGGAGAACGAGTCAACAATAATTGAAAGTTTTCTGCAAATACCAATTGCATGTTGTGACCACTGGTTTGCACATTGACGTTAAGCTTCTAATAATAATAAAAATTATTATTATTATATAGCGCAATATACACACGAAATGTCTATATGCGCTTCTGAAAGCATTAAACAAGTGTGTCTGAAGTTGTGAAATGTTCAAAGGATGGGCTGATCTTTATTTGGTGAGGTAATTTATTCCATTCTTCTTGTGCTGGATAATGAATTGTCCATTGGCCATAAGATTTGGTATGAACTGTACGTGGAGTTAGATGATGTTGTGAGCTGCAGCGAAGATTTTGTGAGGGACGGTATTCAGTTATTAATTCATGGAGATATCTGGGGCAGGTCCATTGATGCATTTATTGGTGAGAACTAAAAGTTTGAAAATGATTCTGGACTTCACTGGTAACCAATGTAATTGTTGTAAGACTGGGGTAATACGTTTGTATTTTCGCGTTTTGGTTATGAGCCTGGCTGCGGAGTTCTGTGTGCCTTAGAGTTTGTTTAGTTGTGATTCTGGTAATCCATACAAGGGGCTATTACAATTGTCAATATGGCTCGATACAAAGGTATGAATTAATGTTTCTGTTGTGTGTTGATTCAGGAAGCGTCTTAGCTTTCAAATCTGCAGACTGCTTATGAATACTAGAGAACAATCACAGCGTGCAGCAAATGCTGTTGTATCTTCACACTGAGTGGCACTATACTTTCATTTTTAATTCATATTCAAGTTTCGTTGACAGTTTGTTTACTTTTGCTGGTCCCAGAAGGCCAGCCTAGTATCCTCTTTGTTGTTATCTCGTTGACTGATTCACTTTCACTTGTGACTCAGATAAGTTCACTTATCTCAATGACTGATAATCACTATGACTTATGCTGGTATGGGACTGTCTTTATAACAAGGCTTCATGTAATCATGTGAGTGATGTGCCACTACACCACATTGGCATGACATGTGTAGGCATTGGGCCTTATGCACGAGTTGGCCATTTTTGTCAAGTTCCTTGAATCTATTTCCTTAATTGTCAACTGTTGAATGGGATGGCGCCAGACTATTTATGCAGGCACAATGCAGTAGCATTATTTTACTGTCATTTTTTTTAATCTGGCTTTAAACATTATCGAATATTTAATTACAAATTTTAGATTATTCATTGAAGCACATTGGAATTAATGAGTAATTAACTTGCTTTTATTTCTCTTCGCAAGTTCCAAAAATGCAGATTTTACCTCACTTTCAATTCAATATGGCCAACTCGTGCATAAGGCTCATAGGTTCAACTTTCCATGCAAATGGCAAAAGTGGGCATTTCATTTTCATAACATTACCACTTCAGCTGATTCTATGAACCTTTTAAGCTATTCTGAATGGATTGATTAGAATTTGTGTGCAATTTTTTGAATGTGTTTGAGTATTACTGATCCACTCACCACCACCGCCGCCTTTGCTGCCTCCAGTCCCGCTACTGAAGCCTCCCTTCCATCCAGAGTTAGTGATCACTGAACAGGCAAACAAATCACTCAATATCAGCATGTGGCATTGCCGGGGTATAATCATTACCCCTGACCAACGGGCACACAGGCATTCGTGGGATCTTCCTCCACTCCTTAACCCTAGGGTGATTGACTAGGAACCTTCCTCATCCTTACAAATCCCAACACCATACCGAAAACTGTGCACATAAACAGTTGGACTCTGTGTATTTGTGGTATGCCTAACCCCATGTAAATCATAATCAGTTTACTAGTGCACTAATCATCCTAACAGATTCCAATAAACCCTAGTGTTGGAGTTTGACTGGATGGGGATCTTTGGGGTTTTAAAGGCTAGTTCGTGGTACATGCAAATTCAACACAAATTTGACGTGATGGAACGTTCATTGTAACATTTGCCAGAGTTGAAACGTGTTCAAGTTTTGCGAAATCGCTGTGCATTTGCATTTGCGCCGAGTATGAACCTGCCTTAAAGGGAATATACATCAGTTGCTTTTGCTGTAATTTTCAGAAATGGATGGATTTGTGGGTTGGTAATACATAGCTCATATTGTTACCCTGACTTTTTTGACATTTGGGGTTCGTAGATGCTATAAAAACCAAGAAAAACAGTCAGTTTCCTGTAGTCTGGTTCCCTGACTGCATTTAAGATGAAATGGCGCAATTTATAGACATTGGGGAATTGTAAGGTCAGGGAACCAGTCCAGCTGGCTTGTGCCCATTCATAGGTGTTTTTTCCAACGCTGGTCGGCTGACCAGCGTCGGAAATTGAAACAAAAATACCACTTTTCTTAAAATGACAGTATACCAGGTTGCATGATTTTACAGGATGCTTTAGACTGTCATTCACTACTGTCCAGCAAGGTATTTCAAAATAATTTGGTAGTTTTAGTTTTTGATGTTTGCAAATGTTGTATTTTCCCTTTAATTGAGGGGGGGGGACCAATGTTGGTACTTGGAATGGATTACAACTACTTCACAAGTCCTGTCATAAGTGAATCACAAGTCCAGTCACAAGAGATAGGATACGAACAATAACAAAGGGGTGCCTTTGTCACAGTTTATTTGCAACATTTGTGACTTGACTTGGACTGGACACCCCGTGATTCACTAGTGATCCGTTGCAAGTACTTTGACTACAACACTGTGGAAACCTATTGACATCGTGCACAACATCACTTCTACTGGTGACTGACAGGGTTGATTTACTTTTTGTAAATCTAATTTTTAATTTTCGTTTTTTGATCTTCTGAACTTAAATGTTGTTGCCATGAGAATAGAGGGTTACTTTACAAAATAATGGTGTAGTAACATTTTAAGTAGGTTATTTTGAATATCTTATAACTCATGAACATGAGTTAGCCTGGTGTATTTGTTTTCCTCACAAAATTTGAATATTTATCATGAACAATGGAGGCCTACATGTTAAGTCTATCACAAATTCTACTTTCATCGGCCAACCACCGTTGGAGAAAAAAAACCGAATGCTTATCAAATACTGCCCACAGTTAGACCACATTTTGTTAACAATTGGTTACACATCTGTGAACGGTTGCAAGCCAGCTAGTCTGGTTCCTTGACCTGAAAATTCACCAACACCGATAAATTGCTCTGTTTAGTCTGAAGTAGGGTCAGGGAACCAGGCTACAAGAACACCTTGGTTTTGAACACATAACTTTAAACAGCCTAGTGTTAATAGTATTTTCTATACAATACTAACCCTAAATCATCCATTTTTGGAAATTACAGCAAAAAAAATGCTGCTAAACACCCTAACTCCCTATTTTAAAAATGTATTAAATTTGGAGGATTCAGGACTGTTAGGGATAGCTATGACTAATGGGAGTTTACCAGCAAGGAAATGGAGATTTCCTGGCCAAGTATTCCTGCAGTTTCCTAATAGGGGAATTCCCTACATTGCAACATCATCAACTACATGTATGTACACTGCAAACTCCTGTTCAGTAACATTTTCAGTCATCTAACAATCCTATTCCACAGGCATGCAACTGGGAATTTAGAAAAACAACAAGGAAATTGCAAACCACACTAGACTTTATACAGTGTTTTTTAATTTGTAATGGCATTTATGATAAGTAAAAAACAAGGAAATAGACGGATCCGAGGAAAAGTTGCATGCCTGATTCCGACATGTCAGGTACAAAAACTGACCAAATGTGGTGCGGTGCGGATTTTCAGCCTGTATGTAAATTTCGCTCCAAACTGAGAAACCGCTTGGGCACTTCTCCAGGCAACAAACTTGTTTTCTTATTCAAAGCACTGAACGCAAAATGAACGCTCAGTACATGTAGGATAGTAACCATCTATGAACTTGGCGGCAAAACTTTAAATATATCTTTGTTTTTCTTTTTTAGAAAGGGAATAAACATGTACTTGGCCTGTTTTAAATGTACTTGTTTAAAGGGAAGATATAACATTTGCAAACATCAAAAAACAAACTGAGCAAATTATCATGAAATACCTTACTGGATTGTTAGGAGCATCCTGTAAAATCATGGCAACTGCCGATATTTTCAAGAAAAAGTGTATTTTTCCAATGCTGGTCGGCCGACCAGCATTGGAGAAAACTGGCTAATTTTCAAAAACTGCTCCTACTTTTTCATATTTAATTATTCTGCATTTTCTTTGCAATTGATTACACCTGTGAAGGGGTACAAGCCTGCTAGACTGATTCACTGACCTTACAATTCCCCAAAGCCTACAAATTGCTCCGTTTCATCTTCAGTGGGGTCAGGGAACCAGACTATAAGAACATGAATATTTTCTTGGTTTTCTAGCATATACAAACCCAAAACGAAACAAGTCAGTTTAACAATATTTCTAATCCTCCAAATCCATTTATTTCTGAGAATTGCAGCAGAAGCAAGTGTTGTACATTCTCTTTACAAATGGCCAAACACATATTTTTGCCATTCAGCCTCAATCCTCCAAAATCCTCCAAAAACCGCCTGGAAGATTTTGGAGGATTGAGGAGGGTTAGGTTAAAATCAAAAAGACTGTGTTAGGCCAAAAAAAAAAGTCTCCGGTTTCTGGTATGGAGCTTGCCCAAAAAGTGGTGCGGCGACGCGGCTTTTTTTTTTTTTTAACTGATTTTTTTGCTTCAAATGTCGGCTGATGACTGCAAATGGTGCCCGACTAAACTTTGTGCAAATATATGGGAGTCCAGAGAGGCCACATAAAGCTTATTCTCGACCATAACCCCATCTAAAAACACGTTAAAATTGTGCAGCAGCAGGATTCCAGTCAAACCAGTGAGTTTGGTGGTTTTGAGACATCATCTTTCATTGAAAAAAAAAATTTCATTTTGCCGACGCGCATGGCTACGGCGACGCGCGCGCATACCAGAAACCGGAGACTTTTTTTTTTTGGCCTGATTGATTTTGCAAAGATGCAGAAAGTTTAGGATTCAAGCAAGTTAAGGTGACTCACCCGTGTCTGAGCCTCCAGAATCACCATTCCATCCAGAGCCATTCACAACTGTACAAGAAAACATTTATTGACACTTTATGACATTTTATTTGTCATCAATTCTGAATTTCTGCTTTTGTTTGCTGAGCATAAAACAGTCTAGATTCAGTGAGATCAGTACATTCACATTCACTTCGTTAAACACATCATTTCATGGTCCTATAATAATTGAGCAATTCACATTCCATTCAGCATTATGCCTCAGTCATTTGAATCATGTTTCATTTGTGACTTTTTCAAAACAGAAAATTGCTTTACTTAACACTTAACTCCTAACTGATTTCGCAATCCGAGACTCATGCATGCACACGAACTTGAAGAGACTGTTATTTTCAATCATAAAAGTTACAAAAAATGTAAAAAAGTTCACTAAATTTTGTACAATACCTGTTGAGGCACCTGGTGTGGCGTTTGTTGTTGCACCGCCCCATCGACCTCGACCGCGACCACGCCCAGCAGGATTGGCCTGTTGGTAACAAAACAATTCTGATTAACTTCTAGGAAAACATTACAATCAAACCAATTCAATCCCCTCAAGGGACCTTTGTAATATTTGTTCCAGAACCTATAAAAATCAGTCAAGGGCGTTTCCCTAGCAATGACATTTTCTTTGGCAAATATTCTAAACATCAAGCAGAACACCCACGTGAAATAAATAAAGGGGAACGGATATTATTACAATTGGAGCAAGTTCCCCAGGAGCCATAGTTCTCCACAGCTCGACTAACTGAATGAACACTGGATAGTCAACGATGCTTGACCTATTCTAGTCAACTATTTGCAACCAACCTACTGAGGTTAGTTGCATCACTGGTTACAATAGTTGCATTCAAATGCACAGGGAACCCGGACCAAACAGTTTTGCGATGATGTTTTTAGCTGTAGCTGAGCAGCTCTACAAGTAGTCATGTCTCTCTGTTGGTTAGTAACAAACTTCACAAAATGCCTTTTTTTGGCCATCAATCGCCTTGTCCCTTTGGCCCTCGCGCAACAACACACGACTCAGGTTCATTGCCCTGAATTTTGACAGTTGCATAGGTCTCCACTGACCAGCTATTAAATTATTTCAGTTTTGGACAATTGGGTCACTAGAGTCCAAAACCAGATGTCTGTACTAACAGCACTTTGCATTGGGATTGGCACTGTACTGCACACAATAATCTGCACACAAATTTGGTGTTCCCATGTACCTAAGGTAGCATACAGCTATAAAACGTTCCATGCACCAACCGACATTCAACAATATGAATCCTTTATTTCAATTGATAGTCACAACCACGCAGTGCATTATAAAAACAGACTTTTACATCATGTACATGTACATGACTTTAATAATAGGCTACAACAGGTCTACTGTTAGGCCACAGCTTCCAAGATAGTTTCGAGCTTGTTAAAGGGAATATACATCATTTGCTTTAGCTGTAATTTTCAGAAATGGATGGAATTGGGGGGTTGGAAATATATAGCAAATATAGTTACACTGACTTTTTGAGTTCGAAAATGCTATAAAAACCAAGAAAAACAATCATTTTCCTGTAGTCTGGTTCCCTGACTCCATTTAAGAAGGAACAGAGCAGTTTACATACATTGGGGAATTGTAAGGTCAGGGAACCAGTCTAGCTGGCTTGTACCCGTTCATAGGTGTGTAATCGATTGCAAACAAGTGCGATGGTCAACTGGGGCCAGTATTTGAAAAAAAGCCAGTTTTTTCCAACGCTGGTCGGCCGATCAGCGTTAGAAATTGTTACAAAAATACCACTTTTCTTGAAAATGACAGTATACCAGGTGCCATGATTTTACAGGATTCTTAACACTGTCATTCACTAACAGTCCAGCAAGGTATTTCAAAATGATTTGGTAGTTTTATTTTTTGATGTTTGCAAATGTTGTATTTTCCCTTTAATGTTTGCCTCGTGGTGCACAGGCGCAAGTTAGGTCACAAATCCACCACTAGTTGACCAGTGGCCCTTGACCAGTGCTCCTAGATGCCCATGGTTGATGGATTATTTGCAGCTGGAGTTATTACACAATTCTTTCAATGTCACACAGAATCATTTTTCACTTACCGTTGGCTGCCACTTGCTACTTCCAGCTGAAAGAAGAAAAATAGAACATATATGATTAACCCCAACTCTCTGGGGTATTTTGGCTAAAACCCCTGCCAAACGCAGCAAAATGCAACACTTGTCTAAATGACAAGCCTGCCCAGTGTAGCAAGATCCATTAGGCCAAAAGTCTAAAGGCCAAACTGTCTAAGAGGGGTTCGTCTTAGAGTCAGTTGTCCCAGGACACAACAGAACACTGCTGTGGCATTGTGCAACAGAGACTAGCTCTCATTGTTTCAGACTGTTTATGCACTAAAGTTGGTAGGGTAGCTGAACACATCCAAGTGCACCAGACTTTTCCATCTGATGCACTGTGTTGTGTCTTGCAAAATTAAAGTAGTTTTTCTGCAAATAAGCACAATCTGTTTTGCAGAACACCTTACTTCACGGCTTACTTTGCAATCACCCGCTTAATTAACTTAATAACCATTTGCTATTCCATAATAAATTGAATAAGATGATAATTTTTGAAGTTGGCAATTTCAAGAGAAAAAACATACCAAAAGTACTTGCAGAGTTTCCATTCGTCATCGAGGATCCGTAGTTACCACCATTCTGATGAGGGAAGACAGGAAAAAGGAAACTTAGTTTATTAACCTGTAAAATATAACACAATAAACAAATCAATAATTTGACGGTGGCCAAGTTCCCAAAAACTTTACGCTTATGTTGTAACTTCCTTTTGGCCACATTTGATTGCGCAAGTCGCGCAACACTTCATTTATGAAACATTTCCCCCAATTTCTGCAGTACATAAGTCTTAAATTAATCAGTTTCACCATTTTATTAAATGCATCTATTTTTTAAGTTAACAATGCAATGTCAGAGGAGTATTATTCATCTTGATTTTGCCAAGTATGTCAATTTTCTAAACAATCTGTTAAAGTAAGCAGTACCACTGATGCATATTTGTAGCAAATTTCAAAGCATACGCAGACATCCATTTTTGGTAAACTTTTGCAAAGTACAGTATTTTTAAAAATGTATGTTTTTCTGGACAACTGAGGGCGCTGTTGCTGTGATGTCGCTTTCGGAACTCACCCTTGACTTCAAGGGTTTTACTCTTTATAACTTGTAAACCCTAAATTTTGCCAGAAAGTTTTCGTGTTTTTACCCTAACGTACCTAAATCATCAAAATCCGAACACCTGTTTCGGAGATTTCGGCGGACTCCGGTTACCTCCATATTGAACTTACTGGGGGATTTTGATGGACTGAGGATTTAAGCCTAGGGGACCTGCAGGATTTTGATGGATTCAGGATACCTCTATATTAAACTGTTGGGGGACTTTGGGGGATTCAGGGTCTCAACAGTTTAAACTCGTTGGCTATGTTTTGTGGTCAAGTAAATACTGCTTATAGCCCTGCGAAGTCTTTCACATGCTGTACACAAATGTATGTACTTGGCGGATGGGAGCTTGTGACTGGGGCTTATCAGGCCTCAGCAGAAACAATGGATTATGTACAAAACACATCCAGACAAAGCAATGCTGGGGTCGCCACTTCCATACATAATCGTAACATCCATTGAAAGACGATATCAGTGCAAGAAACGGTTTACACACAGTGCTGATAGATACATTTTGTAAATGCTGAATGAGTCATGCTTCAGTAAACATTAAATATAGGACAATGGCTCATTGAAATAACCCTTCCACACAATACACACATTAAAGTGTACATAATTTCCCACAATTGTTGAAAGGAAAAACAACCCACATCATATCCAAGACCAGTTGAACCATGCAAGTGGTGTATTTTGATGGATCCTATGCAACAACACACATCACAATTTTCATGCGAGCATAATATCCTAAATCCGTCAAAATCCACCAGAAATTTAGGTGATGGATTTTGAAGACATGCTGTATTTTTTATGCCACCATGGAATATCCTGAATCCACCAGAATCCATTAAGATTTTGCTGATGGACTTTAGCAGATTCAGGATACCTCCAGTCTCTACACTGGGGGATTTTGATGGACTCAGGGCACCAACATTTTTGATGGATTTCGGTGGATTCAGGATACTTTCTAGAAAAAGAGCCCAAGGGATAAGGGTTAATACTGGGGAAAAAAAATGATTCGATGAAAGCCGAAAATTAGCCACAGCAAAACCCCAACATTCTAGTGACTTTTTACGCTGAAGCAGAGGTGACACTGAGGTTTCTCCCTGGAATGACTTTCACTCATGAATATGAAAATTTCATTAGCATAAAAACAAAAAAAGGCACCAAAACGCGAGATTTACAAGGAACCTTCCTCACTCCTGCAATTTCCAACAAACCCTGGTGTTGGAGTTTGACTGGATGGGGACTGTTAGGCTAGAGGATTGAATTGTTTTTAAAATCCATCACATGACATGTATTAATGTAACCAGACTATGACGAGAAAGGGTCACTGTGATTTTTAACAGAACCCTACCCATTGGACTGGTTATTAAGAAAAACTGTTGTTTATTTTCCTGCTAACATAAACCATCAGGAAACATAAACTATCCTGGAAATGTTTAACAAGGAATTGGGTCTAGGATATTTCATAAGCATCCAGGAATGACTGTCTAGACTGCAATAAACAGCTGGTGTCATTTTAGTCTGCCAAAGAACAATACACCAAACAAAACTGACATCATGCGTTGTTTACATGTGTGCCTACTACAGGAGCCAGGTGGGGATTAAAGCCATACAGTTCATGTGAGAAAGCACACATGTAAACAAAGCATGACATCATCATGTATGAGGTACATGGACAATTGGGTTTGCCAAGCAACAGTCAAGGGTTTAGGGGATTGTGTTTATTAGCCAAATGTCTTATTCGTACGCGAATATACAATTTTCTTTCTCTTTCTCAGGAATGTTTTTCGTCTTTCCTGGAATCTTTAAAATATATTACACAGTCTAGTATTTATCCCCATAAAACAACCTGGTTATGAAACAAAAATTAGGTCAAAGGTGCACGACCTATGACCTCAAGCAAAATCCTGCCTGTCATTTCGGGGAAAAAACAACCCTCCCTAAAAATTACAGAAAAACTAGATGTCGAACCAAAGTGGTATGGATTGAAATTGGAGGATTTGGACCGAAGTATTTGAGACAAATTTATGGGGTTATTGAAAGTCACGATGTTAGAATGGATGAGTTAAAAAAAGTTAAAGGTGGTATCGGTTTAGGATGTTCAATCATGGAGCTATAAACATGGTTCAATCGAGTTGGCAAACGGTCAAGTTGTCCAACATCCACATTAGACCACATCATCAGTTTAGACCGCAGCAAAGAGCGACAACTTAAGTTGGCCAATTTAACTTTTGAAAATGTCATCCGAGGTATTCGCGACAGCGCACCTCGCCGATAAATTTCTCTTTTTAACCAGATCATAAATAAACCTAAGTACCTCGATCTTCTGATCTCACTCATCAATCTCTACTTGTACGTCGGGTGGCGTATGTAAGTAGTTTTGTGGCTGTTTTGAGGGTGACATGTGGTGTTCTTTTTTGGGTTGTTTCGATTGCGTCGCATGATGGCGGCCATGCGGCTTAGACCTATCGCCAGACCATGTCCCAAGGTTAAAAAAAATTACTCAGACTATTTTAAACCTGGGGTTTATGGAAATATGTTTGAAGAAAATTAGAAAATCAGCCATCAGAAAGTGATAATATGTCCTAAAAAGTCAAAATTAGCAGTGAAAAATTTTGAATTTTTACTGAGAAAACACTTGGAAATTTTCAGACCAGTCCCATAGGGTTTGCGCACAGGGTGAAAAGTGATTGCCAGATATGGGCATCTTTCCGTCGAGTTGTCTAACCTCCACGGGACCCGGCGATAGGCCTACTTGCTAGTGTGAAATGTGCACTTTAATTTCGTGATAAACAGTTACGGTTTTTTTTAAGGCAGTGGAATATAGCCGGAGACGGCAAACCTTTAGCATGGAGGAAGGAATCGTTAGCTTGCCAGGATTGCCGCCGGCAATATATCCACTACCAGACTGCTAGTACTAGTACTAGTACTAGGCCTAGGTTTTTTAATTGTAATTATCCTACTATCATCGGTCAACACATATGAAACTGTTCATCCTTACTTTACAACATAAAAAAATGTGTTTCGAATTCTGGGGCAGACATGGCAAAGTGGCCATCATGAGCATGACGAGGCAAAAAATGGCAATGGCATGAATGGGGCGAAGTGACAAAATGGGGTGAATTGGGGCAAAAAAATGTTTCTTTCAGACATTTAGCATGTTTAGTTCTTACCCAAGTTGTGGTGGAAGAAGGGGTGGTGTCGTCATCGTCCCAATTTTCCGACATCTTGTCACGGTTTATCGTCTTTTGTCCAATTAAGTCGCACACACACACAAAAACTTACTTCGCAATCGCAGTTCGCGATGGCCGCCTTGATCGTGAACTTTAAACTGTGTGTGCAGTGAAACGACAAGTGGTTGACGTCAACACAAGAGTTCAATAAACTCGGAGGGAATATTACAGCAAATATTTAACACTACAATTTCTACGTTTTACCACAGGCTCTTTGGAAATATAGGTGGCAACGTGAGGATTAAAACAGAGTTGCAATAAGCCAGAATTCCTGACTTGCTCAAGGAAATTTTGGGCACTGAATGACCAACGTGCTATGAGTACATGCTTTACATGACACATGCATTCACCACGTGCTCACGTGCCGAGCGAGAACCATCTGAAAGTGATGTTCCTGGAACGTGATTTAAACTGAGACTGGTACCCGGCCAAGGGCGCATTTGATTGGATTACGCGCCAGATGGAACGGAACGGCGCGAAAAAAAACTTCAGCTCATTTAAATATGTCGGAAAGACTTTTAAAAGCACCGCGCCTTGCAAATTCACTCTACGGGTACGCGCAAACAGACGAATGATCGACGTAAAGTCTTTCCCATAAATAAAACAATGAGAAATCAATAGTGGATTACAACCCCAGTCCATAAAGTGTGTAAAGGCGATGTTAAAAACAAATGATGTTGTTTAAAGCTACAGTCCATCATTTGTAATTTGTGCATTTTGTTCGTTTGAAGCAACAAAATAGTTCAAAATCTAATGAAGGATACTGAGCAACTAACCTGATGAAGTTTCAGCTAAGCTTCAGTTGTACATTCCGAGAAAAACAGCATTCTAAGATCTCAATTTCAAATCAAAAGTTACTGAACCATGTTTTGAATTGTTTTGAATTGCAGCTATACGCGACGTCGCGCACTGATCCGACGAATTACAACAACCGCGCGCGCGTTTGCGTCGTTCCAATACTTGTGCGCGCTGCGCTGAATAACATGACGAACTACTAATTTAAATTTTCCTACGGTGCTTCTTAAGAATCACCGTTGGAAATGCCTTCTTCCGTTGATTACTTCAAAATGACAGCTTCTCAGAAAGAATAATTTCACAGGGAGTTTAGTTCCCTTACTATCTTTCAACCAAGTTTGTTTTTCAACAATGATTACGCCAGTTACTTTTCGGATGGCTGCAAATGATGGACTCTAGCTTTAATAAAAATCACGAGTACGAATGTCCCTTCCGGACTACCCTGAAAAAAATCTTTGCTATTTGGGAACTATCTTTACGCATATACATTGAACATAATTGGCTGGAGAACTATAAGTTGGACCTGCAAAAACGTAACAATAGAAAAGCCAAACAAAAGAGGAGTGCAGACGATACTTCCCCCCCCCCAAAAAAAAAAAAAAAAACGGAGGGCATGCCCCCCTAAAAAAAAGAAGCAATTTTTTTTCTTTTTAAGTGACATGACGTCGCCAAATTTTGTTTTGCCACCCCCCCCCCGAAAAAAGCTGTGTTTTGGTCAGCCCTTGTCCGCCCCCCCCCCCCCCCCTCCTACGAATTTGTGAAATAGAAAGAGATAAGAAAAGGGGAAAAGAGCACAATCAAATGAGGTCCGGCCCTTTGGTGCCCCCCCCCCTATAAAATGCTCATGGCCCCACTGTTCCCCCCCCCCCCCAAAAAAAATGGACGCCACTGCCGAGCAATTAACAACATCAGATAATACAGACAGTTATACTCCAACAAACAATTCACTGCACTCACATACAAAAATTACTCAGGAAGTGTCATCAATACAAGCAGGTTTAAGTAACAAATTTAGACAAAAACGTTTTATTTCTTCTTTCCAATTAACATGTACACCATCTAGTAAACTTTTTTTTATATCTACACAATATATTTATGGAATTTTTACATAAATTATGACATCACGGGTGGAAACCTCAGTTTAATATTGCTCAATCCAATAATTAGCATTTTCAATAAACTTTTTTTTTTAATATTTGCTCAATTTTGTGAGTCTATCTTCAAAGCAAAGCTAAAAATGTGATGACAAAAACAAAATACACAAATAAAAATTTCATCCCATTTTGGTGACTGGGGAACCTTCTCTTCTTTTCTTTCTTGAGAAAGTTTACTTCAAGTTGATGACTAACATCTATTCTACAACTATTTTGTTCTACATTGTTGAAATTTTACACCAGGATTTTAGATGTATTCTTAACTTGGCTCGTGTATGTCTAGGTTATACTAAGTCCCAAAGTTAGCGTTTTAAATAAACAATAAATCAAACTTCAAGATTGAAGTTTGAAAAAAAAATGTTTTAAATTACCTTTTCCAGGCCTGCTGGTATAGTATTATACCTTATTTTATTATCTAAGATCAACCCATATATTTTGTCCAGGGCATTACAACCAAAACAAACAAACGAACAAACGAAAAGTCCAATGATAGATTGATTGCAGTCAGTAACCATTTTTGAAGTGTTTTATGTTAAAGAACGCACATGGTCTGCTCATGCATATCCCTATTAAACAGAAGCATAGACATCAAAGATGGCTGCAGAGCAAAGGGTCTATCTAACCAAGAACGACAACTGTAAGTCCGCTATGGGCCTTATGCACGAGTTGGCCATTTTTGTCGAGTTCCCTGAATGTATTTCATTAATTGTTAACTGTTGAATGGGATGGCACCAGACTATTTATGCAGACATAATGCAGCTTTATTTTACTGTCATTTTGTTTTACCTGGCTTTAAACATTAGGAAATATTTAAGTACAAAGTTTAAATTATTTATTGAAGCAGACTGGAATTAATTAGATATTAACTTGCTTTCATTTCTCTTCACAAGTTGCAAAAATTAAGATTTTACCTCACTTTCAATTCAATATGGCTGACTATTGCGTAAGACCAATAAGCCCTTTCTTTGTCCAGCTTATGCAGAGTTTTCATTGTAATGATATAAGTTTTCAAACACGGGCCAAAAAATCCATTTACAATGAATAAATGTCATTTTTCCTGTTCAACGTTTGCGGATCAAATTCCTAGTCCGAGTATCAGACAGAGCCACATGACGAATGTCTGATAGGCCTATGTACGACCCGGCGCGCGCCAGCCAATCGCAGTCAACTTCAGAAAGTGTGACATCATTTCAATCAGACATGTGGACTAAGCTGTTGATTGGTCAATTTGTCTACCATGTATTTATAATACAACAAGGGGTTAACGAAGACCTGATATAAGGCGCCGCGGAATGGTTGGAATCTCGAGGTCAAGATGCAGTCTGGTTGCATAATTAATCACAGAATCTGCTCGCATATCATAGACCCTTGCTGTGCAAGGGGATATTCCATACATTATAAGATCAATATGATGTTATTTGAGGGGGCAACAGGGTTTTAGAGACACTGTAGTAAAATGTGTGCATTTTCTTCAAATACAAATTACAGATGATACTGAACAAAGTTTGACTTTCTGCTTTGAGCGTTACTGCCTAACCATGGCATCATCCTGACTATAGTTGGGACAATCCCGGCTATAGTTGGGACTGTTTCAACTATAGTTGGGACTGTTCAACTATAGTTGGGACTGTTCCACTATAGTTGGGACTGTTCCACTATAGTTGTTGGACTGTTCCAACCATAGTTGGGACTGTTCCACTATAGTTGGGACTGTTCCAACTATAGTTGGGACTGTTCCACTATAGTTGGGACTGTTCCAACTATAGTTGGGACTGTTCCACTATAGTTGGGACTGTTCCAACTATAGTTGGGACTGTTCCAACTATAGTTGGGACTGTTCCACTATAGTTAGGACTGTTCCAACCATAGTTGGGACTGTTCCAACCGTAGTTGGGACACTGCATGTGTTGAGGCGTAAAAACCACTAATAGGCAGTGTTCATGATACATTCTGAGAGAATTACAAGTTATGCAAAAGCATAAACCAACAGAGTTTTTTTAATATATGCACTATAAGGTATTACACTCACGCAGCCAATTACATGCAGCCAATGTTGAGACCAGCCAGCTTCAACGAGCTCAGTTTAAACACAAGATCTGTGACAACTTTTAAGTTGGTTGCATAGATACAAACACATTTTCTGTAGGGAGCGTTGTGTTGGTTGTGCCACAAAGTTATGTATAGGTGCAAAAACCACTCAGTAAGTAATACATTGCGTTCACAAAGTGTCTCCATAGGGCCTTTCAAATCAAAACTCGGACCCACCACAGAGATTTCGGGAACGCAGATATTTCAGGAACACAGAGATTTTGGTGCTCTACATGGGTAATATCTAACCCTGGTCACCAACGGAGTCGGTAGACTCTACCCCGGTAGAAAATCACAAATCTACAGCTGATCCGTGTACAACCCGGTTAAAGGTAATATACAACATTTGCAAACATCAAAAAAACAAAACTACAAAATTGCTATGAAATACCTAACACTTGCCTGTAAGTGAGTAATAGTCTCAAGCATCCTGTGAAATCATGGCACCTGGTGTGCGGTCATCGTCAAGAAAATTTCCAACGATGGTCGGCCGACCATCTTTGGAAAAGAAATTGATTTTTTTTTTTTTTTTTCAAATACTGCATCGATCCCCAATATACCAAATTTAGTTTGTCCACATTTTGTTTGCAATCGGATACAAATCTGTGAACGGGTGCAAGGCAGTTAGTCTGGTTCCCTGACCTGACAATTCCCCGACGTCGATAAATTGCTCCGTTTCGTCTGAAGTAGGGTCAGGGAACCAGACTAAAAGAACAGAATTTGTTCTTGGTTTTTCCAGCATCTATGAACACAAAACTTTAAAGAGGTCAGTGCAACAATATTTGCTATAAAATACTAACCCCCAAATCCATCCTCTTCTGAATGCTGAAAATTACAGCAAAAGCAAATGTTGTATATTACCTTTAAGTGTGACTGGTATGCCGTACCTCCTCATGTTAAATGATACGGTACTCGGTTTCGTTTACAGCGGATCCGTGTTGATTTGCAACATTGGTAGGTGAGACGATAATGTGATTGGGATTAGGATCCACATTACATTTTACTATACAGCTTGAGCAGTCCATTGCACAATTAATGACAAGATCACGTCCACTCTTCTGCAGATATAAATTACAGATCAACATTTCTACACGAACAGAGACGAACACCACGATGAAAATAATCAAATTCCCAACACTGACGAGTCCAAGTATTCTATCAATTAATTAATCGATAAGTAGCATGGCTGAGCCTCTGTACGTGCTTTGCGATTATTTGCAAATCTAGTATCTTATTTACAGTACATTTTTTTTAATTCTCCCTTTTTGTACAGTTTATACATGTATATCAGAGAGAAAAATAAACTGAGTTGACGTAAAGTTTGTGGCCTTAGGCCAAAAAAAAAAAGTCTCCGGTTTCTGGTATGCGCGCGCGTCGCCGTAGCCATGCGCGTCGGCAAAATGAAAAAGTTTTTTTTTCAATGAAAGATGATGTCTCAAAACCGCCAAACTCACCGGTTTGACTGGAATTCTGCTGCTGCACAATTTTAACGTGTTTTTAGATGGGGTTATGATCGAGAATAAGCTTTATGTAGCCTCTCTGAACTCCCATATATTTGCACTAAGTTTAGTCGGGCACCATTTGCAGTCATCCAGTCGACATTTGAAGCAAAAAAGTCAGGTAAAAAAAAAAAAAAAGCCGCGTCGCCGCACCACTTTTTGGACAAGCTCCATACCAGAAACCGGAGACTTTTTTTTTTGGCCTTATTACTCATAAATGAAACTCAATTTTGACGTTTGGGTGTACTATCTTTGAGTGCACACACTACACATTTACGAAAGTATGGGCCAATTGCCTCGGAACATTGTACATGTACACTTATTTCTTGGTCAGATAAAACCATGTGATCTCCAGTGTGCATTAAATTTTAGACAAGGGAAGTTATTAGGGCAAGATACATTATTCATTACTAATATACATTGTTTATACACATGCCAAGTTTAACAGCATAATTCTTCTTCTTCTTTTGGTATCTATACATAGTGACACATTAACCCATTAATTAATTACTGATCTGCCTGAAAAACCGCTTCCACGTAGTGCTAGAAAGCTGCCCAGCTGGCCAGCACTGAATGGTTTATTGGATTCTTCAGTGAATAAACACAATGTGCTACAATGTAGTACGATTGCTAATGGGTTAATATTAAAGGTAGAGTAGATCATTTGCAGCTATCCAAAACGTAACTGATGAAATTATTGTTAAAAAGACTACTTGGTTTAAAGATAGTAATGGCAATAAACTCCCTGTGAAATTATTCTTTCTGGCTTGCTGTCATTTTGAAGAAAACAACAAAAGAAGGCCATTTCCAAAGATGCGTCAAATGGTGACGCATTTCTGGAAATTTCCGTTAGTAGTTGGTTTGTAATTCGGCGAATCCGTGAATGGATGCGCACAAGCGTTGATACAACGCACATGGTTGCTTTTACTCGTCAGTTCAGTGCGTGACGTTGCCTTCCTGCAATGGGCTGAATGAAAATGTGTCCGGGATGTTGATTTCAGGCGCAATTCAAAACGTGACTTGGCAACTTTTGATTTCAAATCAAGATCCTAGAATATTATTTTCTCAGAATATACAGCATTCACTGAGCTAAAACTTCATCAGGTTAGTTGTTAACCACCCGTCTTTTAGATTTTGAGCACTTTTGTGTACTTCAAATAAAAAAATGCACAAATGACAAATGATCTACCCTACCTAAGGAGGAATTTTCTATTGTATGGTTAGGGCTGGGTAAAGGTACAAAACAAAAGATTCTACGTTTTGCACTGAGGTTTGACGGCTCACATAGAGACTACCTTGTGCTAATCTGTTAACCACTTCGCGCCGGAATTATTTTAGCGGATAATTTCGACTTTCGAAAAAGGCAAGATATAGCAGCCAACTTTTAATATACAGCCAAACGCCACAGATATTGATTCACGAGAGTCATGTCAACAATATTTGTAAGATATTTCTTGCCTTAACCTCATATGTTTCAATACTCTGGGGTGTGTAATGGAGTGAAAAATTTTACCAAAACGATTCGTGCACAGCTTTCAAGTACAGCACACAGTCCACCTCCACAGACTTCTCAGACTTTGTGTGCGTGTACAAAACAAATGGGGGATTAGCATGGTTAGACGTCATCCGGAGGCAAGTCGAGGCAAGCTTGACGTTTTAACCCGTCAGCCGTGCCTGTGTGTAGAATCAGCCAGATCGTGTTAACACGTCATCCGACGCGAAGTGGTTAATGTCATTTTGTAGTTTTCGTTGGCAAGACATACATGTACATATATAAAGGATCAACAAAACGGAACTTAAAACATGAAACCACGTGAGGGTGTCCTTCTAAAACCTGATTTTTTTCATGTTACCAAAACTTCCCCATCACAAATCAAAGAACTGAAAATTCAGCATCCATCAAAACAAGGGGGTGAACAGCTCAGTTGCTAGAGCACCGGTATGGTATTCCGAAGGGCAAAGGTTCAGACCCCGCTCCAGCCTATTTCTTCGTTCAATTTGATCAATAATATTAACTAATTCCTAAATGAAACAAGTGGGGTGTGCTGTGTTTTTAATCTTTAACCAGTTCATGCCAGGATTATTTTGACAAGAACGGAATGAGGCGTGGGATTACTTTTCACTCGACTTCAAGCCAGGCGGGTTGAAGCCATCACCCTCGGGCAGCACACTCATATTTCCGGCCTCACTCGCTGCGAGCAGGTCACTGACATATATTTCTGGCCTCGCTCCTGCGTGTTTATCCGTCATCTGTTCCGAATAACGCAAAACCTTTGGGGGTATATAAACACGTCATCCTGCGCGAAACTAGTTAATGAATGCTGTAAACCCCTTTTATCTGAAGTTTTTGAAGCCTTTCAAAAAATGAATGTGAAACGAAATGAGAATGATCATGTTGAACAGAATTTGTAAAACCTTAAATGTTTTGAAAATGTCCAAATCACGTTTTGCGCGGGCAAGTATCATATTGTCTTTCTGTGGAAAACGTAAAATATTTGCTTTGAAATCAGTGAGAATATTTCACATCCAAACCTCCTAACCTTCTTAAAATTGGAGTCAGTCCAGAAAGAGTGGATAACCCAATCTACGCCAGACTGTAAGTGACATTTCAAACTAGGTTATCGTGGTTAAGGTACAGGAAGTAACAACTCTTCCACCATAACCTCATCCTGGAAAAAAAACGGAAATGCGTCGGAGAAGTTTAGGTCGGACAAGATTCCTTTCCAAGATTCCCAGCTTTCTTCATGATGCCACTGTGTCAATTGCAGTAGCATTCAAATACCACTTTCATGTTTATTTGAGGGTTTCAACGTATTATCAAAAAAGTCTCTTGTTACCCGACGGGCACCAGCAATTCACTGGTGTCCAGCTCAGGAGTCTAAGAATACAAAGTCCTCGGTTTCGCGCATGGGGGCAATGAGCTGGCCGTTCTGGTTGACGTGCCGCACCCGGAGATAGCGCTCTGGTTTCTCCTCATCAGTCGCGTGGTGGCTATTCCAATCATGGCAGCTACCATCTCGCAGTATAAACATTGGGTAGTCTCTGGAGTTGGCGGTTGGTGGACCCTGGACAATCTACAGGAACGAAATATCCAAATCTAATTGCTACAACTGCTAAAATAATTATGGGTATTAATATTGTGCTTAACAGGTTTTGATGGGTATTTATCAAAGCACCTAACATTTCTATTACCCCTAATCATCGGGCCGATGAAACATTCCCTATACTATCTGACTACCCTCAGGACTATATAGCCTTAGTCAAGGTGTTTGACGATAGTGTCTGATGATCGATTGTTGGTCGCTAACATAAACAGTAGACGTGCATGCTATGCAGTGTTGTAGTACTCGTACTCGAATGTCAAAGTACCCGTACTCGAAATGACGGTACTCGTACTCGGGCAGCAAAGTACTCGTACTCGACATGTCGAAATTGTACTCGATCATCAAAGTACTCGTACTCCAATAGCAGTACTCGGGGGGAAATGGTATAGCTTGATTTTATATACCACAGCCTTATTTTATCGATACTTTCAGTTTGAAATGGTTGATTGGCTTGTGGAGAAATCGAAGTTTCCTGATTTTCCTCTGTGCACGTCCGGACAAACACATTTAACAGCTAGCCGTGAGTGGGTCTGTATTTAATCGGTCTGACTGGCCTGGGCCAATTACGCACAATGAACTATTTGCCGTATGGCCGTATTCGGAAATAGAAGTACTCGTACTCGAACTCCAAAGTACAGTACTCGTATTCGTACTCAAACTTGGAAGTAAGAGTACTCGTACTCGGAGACCTGTTCTTGTACTCGGAGGTACAAGTACTTGTACTTGTACTTGGCAACCTAAGCACTCGGCAGTACTCGGTACTCGGAAAAAAGTACTCGACTACAACACTGGTGCTATGCACTCACATGTTGCACGAAGTGCGAACAGTGACTGCAGGTGGCTAGGCTATGATATGCAAATCAGTTGGTGCTAGTCGAATGCCCTGAAACAACTGTCGCAATGGCTTGTCTTTTTCAAGCTATTTTCGTTATTCTGCTTCTGGATTTATATCGAGTTATATTTGGTCTGCCAACTCCAAACTTGTCGGAGAATGTAGCCACACTATCCAGCTCTCTATCCATGTAAAATATCAGCCTCTACGACCAAGTACTGAATAAAATAATCTCATCTATATTCGCATATGAGGTAGTCGCTGGAAATCCAGCAACAAAATAAAGAAACACATTTAAATGCCTTGGCGCACGGTTGTTTCAAGGCATTCGTTCAGCACCAACTGATTTGCATATTGAAGCCTAGCCATGTGAGGTCACTCCATACAGAACGTATGACTGCATAGCTACTGTTTATGTTAGCGGCCGACCAGTGATCATAGGTCACTATCATCGAACACACTGACCAAGGCTAAGGACCATACAGCTCAATGCGGCCATTTCTCAAGAGACCATCCTGATGACTAAAGCTGGGACGATGCTGACTATAGTTGGGTCAATGCTGTGATATTGGGCCTTTCCTCCCACGAATGTATGGGTAACCAAATGGCTTTTGTTCAAGTTAGATCTTACCGATGGAACAACTTCACAGAATTCGTTGAAATCTTCCTCGGTGCGCAGGTAGAAGCCTATGGTGCAGCTTGGATCCATCTTGTTAATAGCCATCTTGCGAGGTGACATGCAGTGAAATGACTGCCAGACAAAAACATCATTAAAAAGTTTTAGAGTGGTCTCGACATATTGTAGTTCTTGTAAAAACACATGATTGGATTGACTGCACGTTTTAAATTCATAAACTTTATTAGTTATTGACCCTCGTCAGGAGGTACCGGTATATGTTTTCATCGGCATTGGTTTGTCTGTGAATAAGATAACTCAAAAGTAAAGGACGGATTTTCATGAAATTTGTTTTAGGGGTGGTCCGTGGTAAAAGTACGAATCGATTAGATTTTTGACGTGATCTGGAGGCAGGATTTATTTTAAGGATTCTTAACCATTTTTATGTACAAATATGCCATAGACCATGAAACCGGGGCACCCCTCCCCCCAAAAAACACAAGGCCAAAAAAAAAGTCTTCGGTTTCTGGTATGGAGCTTGCCCCAAAATATGTGCATCGACACGGCTTTTTTTTTTTAAATAATCCTTTTTTTCCCTTCAAATGTCGCCTGATGACTGCAAATGGTGAACGACTAAATTTAGTGCAAACCATATGGGAGCCCAGAGGGGCCACATAAAGCTTATTCTCGATTGTAATCCCATCTAAAAACACGTTAAAATTGTGCAGCAGCAGGATTCCAGTCAAACCAGTGAGTTTGGCAGTTTTGAGACACCATCTTACATTGAGAAAAAACTTTTTAATTTTACCGACTCCCATGGCTACGTGTGCACATACCACAAACCGAAGCCTTTTTTTTGTCCTAATGCACTCGTCCATTTCTGGGCCATATACCCTGCACAGTCTCCACACGGTGCAAGTGACAGGCCATGTATGTTAAAGTCATTATACACTAGGACACTGGTCCCTCGAATTAAGCATAGACCTCGCGGCTAGCTGCAAGCCCGTTTTACGACCCTTAATTTAAACAGTGACCCTATGGAAATTCTGCTAAATAGTAAATCTGTATTCAACAAGTGAACAATACTATAAGTTATCCCGCGAGCGTGAGTGGAACACGGAATAATGTAGTACGTCTGTGTCCCACATACCACGAGGCCAAAGGCCGAGTGGTTTGTGGGACACGACACACTACATTTTCCGTGTTCCACGAGCGCGAGCGTGATTACAAATTTATCTTCAAGCAAACTTGACGCGCAGTACAGCAGTTGGAACGAGCACGCTTTACACGGGCATTCAGCAGTTTAGCGTATGCAGCTGGAATGTCGCTCGCATCTTGGAACAGCAGAATACGCAGAGTGCGGTATGGACCGAGGCTGTGCTACATGGTTATATGTAGCACGGCTTGTTGCCTTGGATCGACCAATCAGGATCGAGGATTCAAGTTTACTTGAAGATAAATAAAGTAATAAACAAAGTAATAAACTTACAGAGAGGGAGAACTCCCTGGTTTTCATGTCAACAACGGGCTGGCAGTAGTGAGGATCAAGATGTATCAATTTCTCCTCTACAGAAAAAGGGGGGGGAAATTTGAAAAAGTTAGTCAATTCAAACGTAGAAAGACAAACTCGCAGACAATTTCACAGAAGGAAAAGTGAGGGAGAAACTACACAGATCATGCATGGAATCCTAATTTGTTGTTTTTGTTGTAGCTTGGTTATTTGCTATTTTTTGTAGAAATGTCAGCCCTCAAAAAAGTACAAGTACTACAACACTGATCATTGGCTCCAGAGATCAGAGTTTCAGCAGATTGCTTGATTCTGCAGTGCATTTACACATCTTTTGTGTTGTGTTGCCATTGACTATTTCATGTGGGCACAATCAACGTGCGAAAGATGCTTCAGTGTTTGTTTTGCCTTTCAGTTGCCTGTTGGCATAATACTACAAGTGGTAAGGTCTATGGGCTCCGTGCACAAGTACCCCTTCAACGGCCAGAAAAGGAGAGTTGGGGGAGACCTAGACTGGTTCCTGGTCCATCCACTGCGTATTTCGAATGATCCAAAATTATTGGGGGCGGGGATTAGTCTGGGAGACCATCGCAAGTTAAATTCGAACATGTTGGCATGCAGACGACGCCTGAAGCTCGCGCGAAGACGCTATGGCTTAGCTTTGTGCATATTCAGGATAAAAAAGTTGGGGGTACTTCGCACGCGAACCAGCACAGTATGGGCAAGCAGTGTTCCATCCAAGGGCCTCTTAAAAGTGGTAAAAATGCGCCCTCTTTTGTTCCCGCACCAGAGTGGTAGTAGAGTACTTCCGAGTACTTTGTTTATTACCAAGTATTGAGTCGTTTCTTGCGAACAACGCGAGAGAAACATTGACAGTAGACAGCAAAATGAGGTCAGTGTTTAGTAGAGAAAAAGTTAATTTGAGACTTTGGTTACATAAAACCCCTTTTTAAGTAACCTTTTGGGACAGAAGTACCCTAAAAGAACTTGAAAAGTACTCGGTGAGTACTTTCCGGATACTTTTGTCTTAAAAGGTTTGTTGGTACAAGATTCTGATCTATTCTGTCTAAAGTGTTTTTAATTTCTTTTGGTGGGGATTTACTGTTCAGTGTCTGCATTATGCAGCTTTCTCCATACTAAACCATCATAATCTCTGGTAACTAAGCTGGTACTCGGAAAGTACTCGACTACAACTCTGTCCCGCACTGAGCCCACTGTGAATTTTTTCTACTGAGATATAAATCTGCATCAGCTATTCTACCTTGGAATCCTAAATAGTACAGTGAGTGCTTGGGTTTGCCGCCGATAATCCCAATGCAGCAGTCTAGAGTGAACAGAGCTTGCACGGAGCTGACGTAGATGGGATTGACTTCATCTCCACCTAGCCTGACAGGCACAAGGATCACCACAGCGCACCACGTTGAGGATCCATCGCCTTCATTCCTGGGTTTTCCATTTTGCGTCATTGATGAGGCTGACACTGGTTCCCTGTCAGACGTTGAGGATCCATCGCCTTCATTCCTCGGTTTCTCGTCTTGCGTCATTGACGAGGCTGACACTGGTTCCCCGTCAGACTGGTGAGCAACATCACTCGGCTCTGTCCGCCTCTGTGTATCCTCCGTCTCGGGTCTGGGGGATGGTTCCTCAGCCTTTGGGCTGTTCCCGTTCCAGTGGGTCCGGTGCACTGTCTTTGGTTTGGCTGCTACTGGGGGCGGATGCGATTTCTTAGGCCGGGCCAAGCTTGGCTCTGGGGTGATATCGGCCTGGTGCGAGTTTGTGGTAAACACCGACGGTGGGTGCATTGCGGGAGTGGAGCTTCCATTCAGTTCGCTACTGCTTGAGAAGTCAGTCTGGCTTGACTGTTGGATAGTGCTTTGCCGCATTGACGTGGGTTCCTTCTCATCGGCCCGATTCACATCACTTGAATCAAGGCCAGGTGTGTGTACAACAGGTGACAAGGAAGAAGTACCAACTGCTTCTGGATAGGGTTCAGAAGGCTGCTGATGGGTGGAGCTTAGGGGAGGAGAAACGGTCGACGGAGGCGCCACTGGCAAGCTATGGTCACTGTACACCGGCTGCAGGGAACCAGGACGCTTCCGCTTGCACAACTTAATCACATCGGCCTTGTAGACTGAAAATGGATGAATAAAAAAAGCTATATAGTTATTACCCTATCCCAGTAAGATATCCACAACCTGTAACATTTGAATGCATTTCGTTTTCATTATTGTCTTGAACACGTGACCCTCTAGCAACCAGTCACTTGGACCAATTTTTGAAAACTGGGATTTGGGGCGCGTTGGAAAGGACATTGAACAAGCTTTCTAATGATGCACACAATATTGGAACTGGGGAAAATCTGATGAAGTTATAGGTTTTTCCAGTTCCCAATTTTCAGGCCTTAGCCAAATTTAATAATCGAGAAATTTGTCGTCAAAGTTTCCCAAATGAACTCCTCAAAAATTGTACAAATTCACTTTATTGGAAGTGAAATATATTCATTATTCTAGCTGCTAATGCCTAAATCTGAATTTTGATGATTTTTGCCACATGTACAATGCATGTACAATGTATTATAGGCTGAATCTCAAAATACGGCCGTGCGACTTCTGACTGGGTTTGTGCTGGAAGGTCACATATATATACTCTCATTGTTCCCTTTTAGCAAAAACCACATTTTCAGCCGGTACTTCAGAACTCATTGATATTGTCATTTGTATATTAAATGCTTCAGCAATTGATGTCATCACAACACTGAAATGATTATGGGAATAAATGTGTGCTTGGGAGGTGTTAAACACTATGTTTAAGACTTGTTGGAGTCTGAATACTGATATTTCGCCTCGGGTAATTATCAGCATCCAGACCCCAACCGGTCTTAAACATAGTGTTTAATACCAACCAAGCATATGATGCGATCAAGCTAAATGAGTCCTTTGTCGACCCCAGTCAATTTTTTTTTTATTACAGATTTGAAAAGAGCACAATCTCAGCATTACTGCTGTGAAAACTGCATGCTGATACCATCTTTAGTTCAAAAATTATGGAAGTCCGAACACCAAGAGATGTGATGAAGTGATGTGTTGAAATGGCCCTATTTTGGCCTGTATCTCCAAATGAAAATTCCTGACAAACAACTCATGTAGCTTGATCGCATCACATATTTATTCCCATTCATAAATATCCATTCGGTCAAAAAATCTAAACTTTTTGGGCCATAAGTCAAAACAAGTCAAAAATAAAAATGTCCAACGATTTTGTTTAAAAATTGTATTTTCAGTTTTTTCATCCCTCTAGCAATACAATGGAGTGTCCAACTCGCGAGAAAGACGTAAACGACTCCTTTTATGGAGATTGGCGCGTGCGTCACACGTACTGCGCAATGACGGGCAGATGCAGCTGTGGTGAGTGCGTTGTGAATTTAGGACCATGAAATACTGACTCACTGGTAGTATTGCGCATGCCTATGTGAGGATTGTGAATGTTCAACCAATAAAATGGTAAAAGGCACTTGATTTCATAGGAGTCCAAATTTCATGTGACACTGGAAAAGTATTTAAGACCAGCCGGCCATGTTTTATCACCCGTTTAAGACCAGCCATGTGACGGGCTCTCGACCAATAGGAATGGGTAAAAATCTTAGGTATTTATGAATTGTGCATAAATGCTACCGGGCCAGGTTTTGAGTTTTGAGTTTAACCCAAAAAATTTCACAGTAGCAATTATCAACTCGCTTACCCTTAAGAAACAGACAGTTTCTGTCAAGAACTCTTGCCATTATCATGGTGCTGCTCATGACATTTGGCAAAAGTGTCTTGAGTGCTCAAAATAGCAGTAAAATTGTGTTAACCTACGTGTATTAGCAAACATGTATTTAAGCATAGACATGCCAGAACTTTACATCCATAGAGATTTATAATGTCACGTCGGTATTTTAAGCAATCTCTCTGTAGTTAAGGATCTTTTCACTGTGCTTACTGCTGACAGTATTTGTGAAATGGACAAAGGCTATGGGCAGAAATTGTGTGCTTAGCTGCATCTTGAAATTGGGCCCTAGATTTAAATGTCGATGTAAATGTATGTAGGATAATTTGTCGAAAGTGAGACTTTTATAAGATGAAACTGAGACTGAAACTGAGGTCAAAACTCACTGGTGCAATCCTGAGCCACATAGACACAGACTTGTTCCAACAGGGGATTCAGATCCATAGCCTGATCCATAGCCTCTCTGGAAAAGGGATAAAGACAGTACAAATATAAACTCATGAAACATTATCAAAACAGTTTAGCAATTTGTAATAAGAGCACATCATGGATGGGAAACCATACAATGTGTTTATGGTACCACACATTTGACAACGATTAGTGTTACAGACAAAAACAACAGTGCAGGGTGAGTCCAAAAAAAGGAAACCCAAATGGCAGGACAAATTTTTTTTAATGAAGTTCTGCATGTGAAAGCCCAATTAATAAGCTTTCTTTTAGTACAAGAATCATTCAAATCACTCATGTGCTTTTCAAGTTACAGAATTTTAAACACAAGCACCGTTTTAAAGTTCTGTCCACGGATCACAGAAAAAGAAAGTGTTTTTTTTTCAGCAAAACGAATACAATTCACTAGGGATGTTTGTGAATTGTTTTCGTTTTGCTGAGCCGTGGCCAGAACCTTAAAACAGTGGTTGTGTTTTACAATTCTGTAACTTGAAAAATACATGAATGATTTTAATGATTCTTAAAAAGAAAGCTTATTAATTGGGCTTTCATATCCTAGAGTTTGAAAGTGCTACATGTGGAACTTTATTAAGAAAATGGTCCTGCCATCTGGGTTTCCCTTTTTTTTTGGACTCACCCACTAGTCCTGAGGTTGCATACGTGACAACGGGCAGGGATGTATGTGAAAATTTTACTTAGACTATGCTTATAAAGTAACCAAGCTGGGCCTGGTGCAAACAATGGTAAGATTTGTATCCAATGGAATTTTCATTTGTAAATACTCAAAAGTAACAGGGGATGAACATTAACAATGGAATGCCTTTTTGACCGTTCATTTGAATAGCTTGTGCATGTGTAACTTGACATGAGACAAAAGGAATTTGTGAAGATTCTGGCAAAATGAGACAGAACTGGGCATGTCGTAGATAAGAAAAATGCAAAAAACTGATTTAGGGTGATTTTTTTTCTGATTTTCAGATTTATTGGTGTTTGCAAATCAATGATAGTCTAATACACATATTTTAAAGAAATACATGTAGTATTAGACCACGGAATAATAGTGTTTTTAAGGAAAAGCAATTTGCATTTTTCATTTTCAAGACTATAAAAAATTTACACTTTGAAGGCCTTTGTTTCTCAGTATTTAACTTTTCTGACATGTAAATAAATGCAAAGTTTAAACAGTTTCAACTTGTCAACAGAATGTCCGATTCAAGTGCAACAAACAGTATTGTACAGAGAATTTTATTCTCTTTCCTAATACCTCCGAACCCTCATTTTGACCTCTGCCCAGTTCTGCCTCATTTTGCCAGATCCCCTCACAATTTGTGATCAACGTGTGAGGCATTAGCTAAAGCTCTGCTGACAAGTTCCGTTACATTGTGAAGATAGAAAACCCTCGCTCTGAAACTAATCCATGATAAGATGGCATTTTGCGTCGGGTGATATAAATCAAATTAGGTTTTGCCCTTCATCGATTTTTAAACACTGTATACTCAGTGTGTTACCTCCCGAGTGAAAGTTGGAAAAAAATAACTCGGGTGGGACTCGAACCCACAACCTCCTGCTTTCTAGTGCAGATGTCTTACCACTCGACCACCGAGCTAACGGGATCGGTTGGCTGGTTCGAATCTGATGTACATAGCAGCGGGTACCGCATAAACTATGATAAGATGGAATTTTGCGTCGGGTGATATAAATCAAATTAGGTTTTACCCTTTGTGAAGATTCTGGCAAAACGGAACTGGGTACAGGCCGTGTGGAGAAAAATGAGAAAAAAAATGAATAGGGGTGATTTTTTTCTTATTTTCAGATGTATCGATGTTTGCAATCTTTGATATGTCTAATAAATGGCTAAATACATGTAGTAAATATCATGGAATAATAATGTTTGGGTTTTTTTCCCCAACTTTCACTTGGTAGGTAACACACTGAGTATACAGTGTTTAAACGTCGGTGAAGGGCAAAATCTAATTTGAAACTAATCCACCTGATGAATATATGAAGGCTAGAGAATGTCTTCCGACTCACTTGAAGATGTGTGCGACCGAGGCCGGTCCGTACCAGTCCCCAGCCTTCTTGCCAGAGCTCTTGCCGATCTCTACTAGCCGGTGCAAGGAGAAGGGACTCATGTCATCTGGCTGGTCACCAAACCATCTCACTATCTCGTGGTGGTAACGCTGCTCCTCCTTGGTCTGCTCATTGTAGTAGTTCCAATCTGAAATGGAAATGAGGATTGGGAAAGGTTTCATCATTTTCAGGCACACTCCAACTTCCAAAAGGCATACTCTTAATGACATATCCCTAAACAAGGTTAATCACATGAAACTTTTGGGAGTCACGATTCAGAGTGATCTCAAATGGGACATTCATGTTGCTGATATTGTCTCTAGAGCCTCTAGAAGATTATTTACATTGTGTATCTTAAAGAAATATGACGCTCCCTTGGCTGACTTAGTTTCGGTCTTCATATGCTACATCAGACCAGTTTTAGAGTATGCCAGCCAAGTCTGGCATACCTCGATAAGTAAACAACTGGCTTATAGAATTGAAAATGTACACAAACGTGATTGTCGCATTATGTTAGGCTCTCATCAGTATCACAGTTACTCCAATGCTTTGGACGTTCTAGGTATTTCTAGCCTTGAAACTAGGAGAGACACCTTACTGTATAACTTTGGCACAAAACTATTACATTCCCCCAGATTTAGAAATATGCTCCCCCCTCTTAAATTGAATAACACCACTACCAGAATACTCAGACAGTTCCACGTCTACGCTAGTTGTACCCAAGTGCAAGACTGATAGATACATGAAGTCTACAATTCCTGTCTTAGCTAAACTTTTGTAATTCTTAATTGTTTACAATGTAGGTGCAAGTGAGTACTTCTTATTAGACCATCTTCCCTGAATGATCTGTCTTCAATTTTGAATTTTTTAAAAAGTTTATAAATCAGTTTTTTTAATATTGTGCTGTTATGTGCTGTATACATGATCCTATACTTTGTTGTAATTTTATGCTTCTATTCCTTTTAACTGCTATTTAACCATTTTTAATTCCTGTAAAGTGTAAACGTGGTTATATCAGCGACTCTTTTGTGGCTGCCTACCTCGTGTTTTTATATGAATAAACCAGAAGAATAATAATAATAATAATAATAATAATAATAATACTCCAACTTCCAAAAAAGAGTTCAGCTAACTTCTAGCTTTTTGTTGAAAAGTTGACCAACATTTGGGTTTTTTTCACCAAACCCCATAGTGGTAAGCAATGACACTGAATTGTCCTTTAATCCTAACTGCCTAGGCCTGTTTGCTAGGTTGTAGCCTCAATCCTGCAAAATCCTCCAATTGGTCTCACGGAAAAATAGCCTCAATCCTGCAAATTCCTCCATTATTTCTTGAATATGGTCCGTGGAGGGGTGACCACTGCCTGAGTCCTGCAAAATCCTGCGGCAGTGACTGTCAATATGTTGAGGCTTGGCCAGTGACATCCTGGAGCAGTACGGAGGATTTCAAGCATAATCCAGGCCTATATTTATGCATGGCTGAGCAAAAACAACACAAGGTCCGGCCAAAGACCTTGACAAAGTGTAGCCTACAAAATCGGTAACGCACTTTTGCCATGTAACCTCAATCCTCCCAATTCCTCCACTTTCGCAAAGAGGATTTTGAAGGATTCAGGGCAGTTAGGGTTTAAGGTACGGTAGAGTGTATCATTTGTCATTTGTGCATTTTTTTGTTTGAAGCAGCAAAAGTGCTCCAAATCTAAAGAAGGGTGCTTAGCAACTAACCTGATGAAGTTTTAGCTAAGTGAGTGCGTCGTGTCACCACTTGCAGGAAGCCATTCAAATAGGAAATCTTATCAGAAATTTCCAAAGATGCGTCTAAACTCTAAAGACGCATCTTTGGAAATGACCTTCTGTTATTGGTTTCTTCAAAATTACAGCATGCCAGAAAGAGTAATTTCACAGTGAGTTTGCTTTCCAACAATACTTTTGTCAGAACTTTACTTTTTGGATAGCTGCAACCGATATTCTGGTACTCTACCTTTAAAGAGGTTGTGGAATGCTCGAAGACATTTCCGTCATTTTTCAGGTATATGTAGTCTAAGGTGTGATGAAATAAAAACGACTATTGTGTCTGTCATGAAATGAGTACAAAAGGTACTTTTGAGAGCTGTTTTTCAGGTCCTGTTTTGACCCGAACGTGCAATTTGTGTAAAAGTCGTCGTTGGGGGCAGCAAACAAAGCATAGTAAATCGTGACGTAATAAACAGGACTCCCGATGCAGCGTAGTATAAACGAGTCCTGTTTATTACGTCACAATTTTTCTTATTTTACGAAGAACCCGACGACTGTTGATTTCAATTATGCGCTCGCCGACCAACAAATTACTTGATGAATTTCAGTTTTATAAACATATAAACGCACATTACAAAAGAATGGGACTTTGTCATTAGGATATATATGGGTCTACTCTACAATAAAAAAAATATAAAAAACAAAACGACTTTCAGCATTCCACAACCTCTTTAATACTATTGGGCTGTGCACTTTCTAGTAATTTTGTATTCGATTATTCCAACTGGACCTGATGGAATATTTGATTAAATTCAAGTTTAATAGAAATGCACTGATCAAGTTAAACATGCACCAGCAGCCTAGACATCAGGCCACTGAATGGGATTTGTGTGTGCCTGCACTTGTCGTAAATTGACAAAGAGCTTATTAAAATACATGTAGTACAAAGAACAGATAGCGGAACGGCTGATTATTGACCAATTTTAAAGAAGAAATTTGAGCTAACATACCTCACGGAAGTTCTAAAATCATACGCAAAAGTGCCTTTCAACAAAAGTGTGGCATTACCATTAACATTACATTACGGTCTTTTTTCATCGTCTTCTCCAGAACGCTCACATTTTTTTTCTAATAATTGAATCAGAAAATGTATTTGGATTTTAGGTTGATGATCAAACATTCGAAAGTACTTCTGCTTCAGCCTGAAATTCACAGTTATGTGTACAGCCAGAGGATCATGGTGCCTATGTCCTTTAGCAAGTCACTTTACTGCAATTCATAACATGACTTGGCAACTTTTGAATTGAAATCGAGATCCTTGAATACTGTTTTCTTGGAAAATACATCATTCATTGAGCTAAAACTTCATCAGGTTAGTTGTTAAGCATCCTTCTTATCTTTACATTTCTAGCACTTTTGTTACTTCAAACGAAAATAAATGCACCGTGACAAATGATCTACCCCACCTTTAAATGTAAGAAACACTCATTCTAATGAGTTGGCAAGACTGTCATCAGTTCCTACACAAATTAAAAGTACCGGTATCAAAAGAAGGACACAAACAGAAATCTCACCTCTGCCCAGGAAATGCTGGACCAGAGCCTGGGCCAGCATCATCTGCCCGCTGCGCAGCATACATCCCCAGCCGCAGTCAGTGGTGTAGGAGGAGCCGGCCAGCTGAGGGAACTCCCGACGGTAGGTCAGCCAGATACGAGAGGAAAACTCCCTCTTGAAGAGTTCCATGGCCGGCGACTTGACTGCATCCAGGCCTGGTAATCGTTCCTCCGCATCTACAGGCATCATGAGACAGGGATGAATGACTCGTGACTCGGGCTTGGACTCGAGTCTGACTCTACAATTGTTTTAATATTTGCGGCCAGACAACAATTCAGACATATCTTTTTGTGAGTTATGTGTGCAAAAGAGCAACCAAAAATAAAAGCATATTTTCAGATCCAGTTGAAAACTTCCAAATTACAACAACAAAAAAATTGTCAGGAGAAACAAATTGAACATTTTGAACAACACGTTAAAAACAAACAGGTATTGTGTTCTTTCAGCAAAAAGAAAACAAATCACATAGGGATGTGTGTAGATTGTTTTCGTTTTGCTGAAAGACACACACCTTTTTATATGTGATCCGTGGACAGAACTTTAAAACGGTGGTTGTGTTTAAAATTCCGTAACTTGAAAAGCACATGAGTGATTTGAATGATTCTTGTACTAAAAGATAGCTTATGAATTGGGCTATCATATCCTGGATTTTGAAAGTGCTACATGCAGAACTTCACTAAAACAATAGTCCAAACATGTGGGTTTCACTTTATTTGACTCACCCTGTACAATGAAGCAACCTTTAACATTGATTTTGACGTCGCGTAAAGAAAAACTGTGATAAACATGATTTCGGTTTTTAAAAATTGTGTTTTTCCTTCCCATGTTCAAATCACTCAGTACATTGTAAGTTGAAGGAGTCTGGACAACAGACATTTGGAAAAGAAGTGAAATATGTCTTTTCAATTTGTATGTTTTGTTTAACTGAAAACCTACTTCATTTCGATTTTCGGCGTCTGCAACTCCATAAAAAGGGGCTTTCATTCTGCGCTTAAATGAACCCGCCCTGCGACATGTGCGAGAGCTAAATTATTGTCTGGCAGCCAATCATTCCAATTTTGTGAAGAATAAATTTAAGAACTAAACGTTGCTGGATTTTTTTCGTTCGATGTCTCATTCAAAAGTGAATAACTTTTACATCGTATTTTCAGAGGAAAACAGCAATTGAAAAGACAAATCTATTATTTGAGGTGAAACTCAAAAAAAGCACGGAGAACGCATCTTTAACCATTTCGCGCCAGGAGTATTTTTGCCGCAAAAGGCAGAATTTTCCAGCCAACTTCTGATATTCAGCCAAACATCACAAATACTGATTCGCAATTGAGTCATTTCAACAGTATTTGTACGATATTTCTTGCCGAAACCTCATATGTTTCAATACTCCGGGGTGTGCACTGGAGCATAAATTGTACAACAATAGGCCGGTTGTGCACAGCAAATTCAAGATCAACACACGGTCCACCTCTACAGACTTCACAGACTTTACGTGTGTGTACAAAAGGCACGAGGGATTAGCATGTTTAGACGTCACCCGGAGGCGAGTCGAGGCAATCTTGACATCTTAACCCGTCAGCCAGGCCTCTGTAAAAACAGCCAGTGCGTATTATCACGTCCTCCAACACAAACTGGTTAATAACTCTTCAGGCCAGTTCAAGTGAAAACATGGCAACTTTCATGATGTCAACAACTGAATTTTCATTGTGGCATTCACCGCTACCCTTACAAATTCCCTTCACTCTTTAAAGGTATAGTCCATCATTTGTAATTTGTGCATTTTGTTCGTTTGAAGCAACAAATGTACTCAAAATCTGAAGAAGGGTGCTAAACAACTAACCTGATGAAGTTTCAGCTCAGCGAAGGCTGTATATTTTGAGAAAAACAACATTCTAGGATCTCGATTTCAAATCAAAAGTTGCTGAATCATGTTTTGAATTGGGCCTGAATTCAGCGTCCGAGACACGTTCTTACTGAGCCGAATGCAGCTACGCGATGTTGCGCACTGATCCGACGAATTATAGAGGGCGCGCGTGTGTGTGCGTCGTGTCAACGCTTGCGTGCGCTTCCCTGAATAAAAAAATGAACTGCTAACGGAAATTTCCAACGGTGCGTCTTAAGAAGCACCGTTGGAAAGGTCTTCTTTCGTTGATTTCTTCAAAATGACAGCATGCCAGAAAGAATAATTTCACAGGGAGTTTAGTCCCCTTGCTATCTTTCAACCAAGTATGTTTTTCAACAATAATTACGTCAGTCACTTTTTGGATAGCTGCAAATGATGGACTACAGCTTTAATATGTACGTATATACATCAAGTATGTACCAGCCTTTCTGCTGCCCTATCAACCTTGCAGACATGTTTGCGGCTTAACATGGTGCTTACAATTAATGAGAAGGAAGTATTACATCCGCATTCCAACCGCTTACACGTATATGCACACCGCAGAGTTGAGGGCATTTTACTGATGATTTCCTGTCTGACAATCTGCCTGTGTTCAGTCTTCATACATTGTACATGTACATTGAATGACTCCCATCACATGCACGTGTCAGAACTGACAGAATTTAATACACGTGTCAAATATGATTCATACGGATGCTCATCCCACAAAAACAGTTAGAGGACACGCCAAATTCATCATCCAGTGTCAACTTTTTCTGAAGAATTTTTGTTCACATAATGAGTTTGTATGTATACATGTTCATCTTTTCTGTGACCAGTGTGCAGGGAGAGTAAAAAAAAATAATAATAAACCCAAATGGCAGGACCAAGTTTTTAAAAAGATGGTTCTGCATGTAGCAGTTTCAAAATCTAGGATGTGAAAGCCCAGTCATTAAGCTTTCTTTTAGTACAAGAATCATTCAAATCACTCATTAACTTTTCAAGTTACGGAATTTTGAACACAAGCACAGTTTTTAAGTTCTGTCCACGGATCACAAAAAAATGTAAGTGTTCTTTCAACAAAAAGAAAACAATTCTTATAGGGATGCATACATGTGAATTGTTTTCGTTTTGCTGAAAGAACACGTGTACCATTTTGTGATCCGTGGATAGAACTTTAAAACTGTGTTTGCGTTCAAAACTCTGCAACTTAAGAAGTACATGAGTAATTTGAATGATTCTTGTACTAAAAGAAAGCTCATTGGTTGGACTTTCATATTCTAGATATTGAAAGTGCTACATGCAGAACTTCTTTCAAAAATTGGTCATGCCATTTGGGTTTTTTTTTTTTTTTACTCAACCTGTATTGTGTACCTACTACTCTTCCAAAAATCAAACAAGTGTGCAATTCACAATGTGATAGGTTTGTTACTAGTTTGCAAATAAAAAAAAAACTGATATCATTTTCTCTTGCACATGCAGATTTGTTTTTTTGGTTTTTTTTAAATTAGCTTGATTTCTGAGCCACTCACATGCACAGTGTATTTCATGAGATTACACTGCTGCATTTTTCAGCTTTACTGTGTATGACAAGAAACACAATAAAGGGGGCCACTTTGCTACCGTCACGTTAGCAGTTTTCCCAATGGTTGTGATTTTGTGTTATTTCTGAACCACCAAAGAAGAATTTCAACACATGAATGGACATGCAGCCTTTTTCCAAAGATAATTTGAGTGATTATTTATATTGCTTTTTGACACTATTCTCAAATTTCCATCAAATAATGGACGGGAAACTTAGGTAACTTTTCCCGTACATTTTTTATGGAATATTGAGGGTGATTTTAAAAATTAAAAAAGAAAGAAAGAAATGATTCAACACATATTACATGTATTATAAGCCTACATGTCCATTCACATTTCAAAAACTTTTTGGGTGGTTTCAGGTACTGTAAAAAAAAAAATTAAAAAAACTGCTAACTCAAAGTGGTCCCCTTGTCATATGGAAGATACATGTACTGTACCCAAACTGTCATTGCGATAGTTTTGTAACTTTCAGGCGTGAAAAGCAAATCCTCTAGGCGGGGTCTCACCTTCTATACTATGCTGGAAACACTTTCCCAGGATATAGATCGGCTTGGCTAGGCTGAATGCTGTTCTTGTTTTCACAGTCCAACCTGCCAAAATAAAAACCACAAACTCATATAAACTTTCAGCCCGATTTTGATATAATTTCTATATCATCTTACCATGAAAACTTGCCTATGGCTGCAGGCAGGTAAACAGGCCCAAAATTGCCTACGCTGGTCAAATCATGATCTGCATGCCCCCTAATTCTACAGTAAGAGCATTTTGAGGGCCACGAAATTGAATGCTTGTAAAAAAAAGTAGGGTGGAAGCCGTGCAGAGGACTGCAAACTCCTATTTCTGTGAAATTTGGACGTAAGTATGGTAGGCCCTTAAATGGCTCTTTTTGGTATGCTCTATGTAGGCTCTGCTCTATATATGGAGCGTAGGCTTCAGGACTACTTATAGGGGTGATCATCTTTGGATGGAATTTTATCCAAAAAGACATTGGTTAACCCCAAAAAAATTGAACAGAAAATGAAAGATGATGAAATCAGCCTTAATTTGATGCATGTCTCAAACACCATGGAAGGTTATAGGTATTCTAAATAATTTTTGGAAGTGCGCGTACATTGTTTGTATTTATCACTGAGGTCTATGGCAGTTTATTTACTGGTCTGCAACCCTACGGACTCTGGGCAAAAGTACCCCCTCAATGGTTTAAGACAGAGTGTGGGAAGACCACTGGGAGGGGCACTCAAACTCATTGCTAACGTCACCTGACGTCCAGGCAAACATGCTATGGCATTGTGCGTGCAATGGGCTCTGTGCACTTACCAGACAGGATGCTTTTTACCACTTTCAAGAGCCCCGAGGGTTTGCCTGAATGAAACGTAAAGTTGCACCCCCATGTGTATACTTGTGCCAGGCGAGCCGTCATCGCGTTATGGGGAAGTTTTTTTTGTTAGGCAAATTAGGACCATATTATGTGGACTTTCTGCTGTCTTCTCATCATCTTTGGTCCCCATGGTACCGGTACCATGGGACAACTCATGTGTAGTCCCCACAGTTACGGAGCAGGAATGTGTGCGTGTGTAAACATCAGCGATTGTGGACCTAGGACAAAAGGGTTAGGGCACATACGTCCATGATTGACAGATAGTCCACGATTGAAATTCGTGTACAAACCCAATGAGAGCTGTTGCTAAAAAGTTGATTGAGGATTACGGACAATAGGGGGTCCACAATGGCCCGTGTTTCCAAAGATGGGTGTACATTGTACGTGTTCTACATAACCCCCGAGGACCGACACACAAAGGGACAACAACAGATCCTTTCAGTCCTTTGGAGTTGAGTGTTTTGTTGGAACGGTCCTCGGTAGTAAGTTTGTGTACTTTGTCTTTTGGAGAGTGCTATATTAAGGGACAAAGGGAAAAACACAAAGCATTGTCCTTGAGAGTATAGTAAAACAAGAGTGTGTGCACACGTGCACGTTCAATGTGTTTCTGCACCAAAACAGAAAGAGGGGTTAGAAAATAATTGATGAGTCATGAAGGATTTGGCTCAGAGTAATACACAATATCTGAACCTAACCCATGTTCCTCACACTTAACACCACATACATGTACATACACAGACAAAATACATGATACACAAACAAAAAGTCCAACTGATTCACTGTCACTAACCCCGTTAAGCCCCACCCCCATGACGTTTAGATCAATCACAACCATGACTGTGCAATCAAGTCTGTCAAAAGTCTGACAATGACATTTGCGTGCACTTTGAATATTGGATAGTCATACCATCAACAAAACTGCCAAAATATTAGGAACTGGCCTACGCGAGTAAAAAAACGCATCAAGCGTCCTGTGAAAATATTGCATTTACCAGTACTACGCCGTCATTTTCAAGAAAAGAGGATACCATCAATTCCCACGCTGGTTCGGACTAAACCATTGCAAGGTAACGATGGTAAAATGGTCGAGAGAATTATTTTTTCAAACACTGTTCCCAAGTTACCAAATTAGGTTAGTTTGCAATCGGTTAGGGGCCTACATATCCGTGAATGAGAATTATTTTTCTCTAGAGACAGGTTCTCTAGGGAAAAATAATGAAGATGCATTTTCACAGCATTCTGCAAATGATTGAGCTGAAATTTTGACAGGTTCGTTTTTAATAAACCCGCCTCGGATTTATTGTGTTGTCATTCCTTGAATCAGCAAAAAAAAAACCAATTTGGTGTCCATTACCTTTAAAGTTGGAATATACGTGCTTTTCAAAATTTCACCAAAAAAAAAAATCCGAAAGAATTTTAAGGGAATACAATGTCCTGTCACAAATATAATTGCTTGTTTACATTTGTAGGCCTTTTTACAGTTTGAAAATTGGTTTTAATAGCGTGCTTTAGTTCAGAAAGTTTTGAGCGAAATTTTATAAATATTCATCTAATGACTTTTCAGATATGATTAAAAAATTGCCATCGGCGATATCAATATCACAATAATATGGAATAATCGAGTAGTATCGATATATCCACGGTGCTTAGACTTACGCTTCTTCACTTTCATCCCGTAAAACAATTCTGAGAAGAGAAAGCTGCTCATGACATAGTTCCTACAAACAAACACAGCCTGTGTCTTGCCGCTACGAGCCACTTCAAGAACACGGTGGAGTCGTCTCCGGGGCATTGTGATCAACAGAACTCGTAACAAACACACTCAATCAGTGATGTTACTTCCTTTTATCCATTCTATCCTGTACATTCAATACTATGAAATTACATATACGTCATGCCACAAAACTTCCATATGGATGAGGAAAAAATTCTATTTTAAGATTCACAGTTTCAGTTGTGGACACATGACAGTACATCACTAGCAGGAAACATACTTCCAACGTGAATTCCATGAAATCAATTTTCCCGGCAAACTCCTCAGAAACGAGTCAGAAAGTTCATGGTCCATATTAGGAAATTTTCAGCAATCCACAGGTGTTTATAAATGCTGCTTGCCCACTAAAAGAAAGTTTGCGCCAAAGCTGCAGGTACATTTGTAACTAGACGGACATCAAAGACCAACGCAACAATTTTGTCCTGCAAGTTCAAATTCACGGTCTCTAAAAAAATCAGGTTTGTTCCCTGGTCACACGTTACAAGATACCAACCAGCATCAAAAATTGTCAATTTCTACTGGAAGCGAGGAATTTAGAATTTCTCTTCCTAGATCTTAATGTCTTGTCTTCTCATTGATGCTGTTACAATTCCAAAGGGGCTGAAGCTCCATGGTATGCGAGTACAAATTTGACATCTGGGGAAGGCACACCATGTATCACTGAATACATGTGTAGATTTCTACATCTATGAGCAGTCCCTCAAAAAGGAACGACTCTTGTCAGGCTGAGGAATCTTCACATCTTGAAGAACTAACAACTAGTACAAAAGTCCTAATATTTTCCAGAAATGGAGTCTTCCAAGGCACTGCAAATTAAAGTGGAATAGTCCTTTGGAGATGCAGAACTCTCAATATTCCAGCACTACGGTAACTCTCAGCATCAGACTATTGCGTGTTGATCTGTGACGACACTCTTGTGTGTGCGTATGTGCACAGCTACCGTAGTTAGAGCAACCTAGGGACGAACCCACTGGCCCTCTTAAAAGGTGGCTTCCTTAAAATACACACAGACCAGGATAAAAAGAGGAAATCTTCTTAATAACATGTAGTTCATGGTGAGTAACAAAGCAGGGAAACTTGGCCTGTATCAGCAGGTCAGGCCATGATGAACCGTAGTCTTGTTTCTCATATTTTGACAAGTGAATCTGCATACACCAGGTTTTCTCAAGTTTAAGTGTGTTTAACAATTTGCGAACTGGCAGCGTGGATGTTGCTGTGACTTGGTCACAAATTAACACTCGCATAAATTTGCTATCGCACCGAGCAGTGGTGTGGCGAGAAATTTTCCATGGGGGATTTACCAAATGAAATTTCTATTTGTCACACGGATATGAAACAGAGACGAAGCCAGGGTTTGAGGAATGGCCTGAGACTGATACATGTAGTTTAAGCCAGCACATTTGGCCCTCCTCTTTCCTTCTTTCCCCCCGCCCATCCCCCCTCCCCCTACCCCTTTTTGTATTGTATTTTTTTGGGGGGGAGGGGTGGTTATGGGAGTTCTTAACCCCAACCCCAGTAGTTATGCCACTCATGGGCGTCAATCCTGGGGGATGGGGACATGTCACGCCCCCCAACTTTTTGAACGATGGGGGACACAATATCAAATGTCCCCCCAGATTTTTGATCTCGTGTCTCATTTACAGGGCCTTTCCGGTATTATGTACAACCTCGAAAACAATGATCAAATTATCTTCTTTTGGGTAAGAAAATATTGGTTAAAGTGGTCAGAAACTGCCCTAGATCACACCACAGAGCATCTAGAATCCAATTTTTTTCGGGGCCCTTAAGTGGGCCCCGAACCCAACGCCGTAAGGGCTTTGCGTTTCAAGGTATGTCCCCCCCCCCCCTGACACTTTTGAGAAGCGATTGACGCCCATGATGCCACTGGTACAAAGTAAACACCATTATCAGAATATCTGATGTTCCCATGTGCATGTACATTGTAAGATGCACCGGAATGTGGCACAACTGCCTTGAGGGGAAACACCATCAACAATGCTGCATTCAAGTCCGAGAGACCACTTGATTGACAAGGCAGCCCCAACGGGTCAGGAAGGGGGATCATGTGGTCTCTATCCCCAGTATAACCGTGACCTCAAAGAGTCATGGAAATGACACATTGTCCAACTTCCTGATCCAATTTGAGAGACGTTTGGATGACGTCTGAGTGACAAGCCGAATAATTTGGGGATTACGCCCTTGCGTTCGTTGGTTGGGTCAGTGGTTCCCTGTGCAATTTTACTGTGACGGCGAATATTTATTGGCCCTTGTATAAACTTAGGATACGCTTTTTATCCCCATAACATCGGATATCTGCTTTTTACAGAGTTGTAACAGAATTGTGTGACTTGAGTCAAGTCGAGTCATTTTCAAAGAAGTTACTCAAGTCGATCGAGTCATTGGGTGAAGAATGTCGAGTCAAGTCGAGTCACAGTGTG